TAACATTATAGGCTATATGACTATTGTAGAATTAACTCATTAACAACATTTATTGTTTTCTGACTTAGTATTGACTCATTGGCGCGCTATTTAATTATTTTTAAAAGCTACTGAGCGTTAATTAATTTTCATGCCTGCCAATTTGAAAGTGACATAAAATCTAAACCAACAGAGATAACACCACCAAATTTTTACTCATGATTAAAAACATATGTATAAATCATATATAATGTATGAACTCATCACAATGAGAGGCACTGGTGATAAAAAATCCTAAACACGTATATTGCAAAAAAAACATAAGACCCCTACTAAATATTACCTTGGTGTACACCATCAGCTTCCCTTGCCTGTCCCCCAGCCACAGAGTTGTCAGGCCCATCATCGTTTTGAAATTTCATTTTCTGAGGCTTCAAATATTAGGCTTCACTTTCAAAATCATTGAATATAGCAGCAATTTGATCATCATTACCCAGCCTAAATCTAGCCCTGGAAGCCATTTTTAAATATCACAATGTCTGAACACTTCCAGATTCGTATTTGTTTCGAAATAAATCAATAAGTGACCAAAATATTAATTTTCAATCATTTCTCTTCGCCAAATTAATTTTAAATCACTTCCTGTCAATGTGAGTACCGAACATTGGCACTGCAATACTAGGGTGACATCTTTTTAAGTCTGTTAAAACTTCCCTATAGCTTGTCGACCTGGATTCGACATACGCCATGAAGCGTATTGGCGACAAAAGTCGCCTGAGCGCGCGAATGAGTTAAGTGTTCAATATAGTGGACTGAACAATGAAATTCCCCCCCCCTGACCAACAAAATCCTTGAAATTTGAACACCTGCCAATTTGAACGCTTTTGGCTGGTCCCATGGGTGTTCGGATTAGACAGGTTTTACTATATTACATAAACACCTAAGAAACAAAAGAAATAGATTTTTAGGAAGAGTTTCAGTCCTGCACATTCCTTAATTTTTCTGTAAACTTTACATACACCTTTATCACGCGGTACTAACTCAACGGGGCTTATCAAAACCTAAACACCCCGAAAAACCGTTAATTTGAATTTCAAATCTACCATGTCTTTGGAAAATCAATGATTGTGAGTCTCACACTACACCATTTTTTTCAAACTTGTTCCATTAAAACCTTCACAGATATACCTTTCAGTCGAGACATTGCTCGTTGCTCCTGTTTACAAAGTCCCTTGTTTTAGCGGCGTTTTGGTCCCCAGATGTGAGAAGTTAGAGATTTCAACCACAATTCTTGATATCTCGCCAGTTCTTCTATCACTCTCCCCCATATTCTGCGCAAGGACTCCCATTACAACCCTCCATTGCTGCATCAACATGTTCTTAACATGAAACGCAGCAATTCTGAAAAGTCCTACGCAACTGTTCGAAATTGACCAAAACGCCCCGTTGTCTTCCAAAACACCCCGCAGAGTCTATGACTACAAACGTGTAGTTTCAAGGTGTATAGATCCAACGGGGCGTTTTAAAAGAGAACGGGGCGTTTTGATCAATTTCGAACAGATGCGTAGGACTTTTGGAAATTGCTGCGTTTAATGTAATAAATATGTTGATGCAGAGATGGAGGGTTGTAATGAGAGTCCTTGTGCAAAATATAGGTGAGAATTATAAACGAACTGGCAATATATCGAGGCTTTTGGTTGAAATCTCTGAAGATTTGCATCTTCTCACATCTGGGGAACAAAACACCGCCAAAACGAGCGACTCTGTACACAAAAGCAATGTCTCGAGTAAAAGGTATTTCTTTGAAGGTTTTAATTGAACAAGTTTGAAGAAAAACGGTGTACTGTCCTGTGAGACTCACAATCATTGATTTTCCAAAGAAAGGGTAGGTGTAAAATTCAAATTAACGGTTTTGCGGGGCGTTTTGGTTTCGATACGCCCCGGTGAGTTAGTACCGCGTGTTAATATGACACACATGCTTTTGTACCAGAAAATAACATGTGCAGGTATAGCAATTTTTTACCAAAATGTTACTTTCCAGCTGAGCCTTAAAAATGTTTGCTTATTGAAATGAACCAATGACCCGGGCAATGACCTCCGATTATTTAAATTTGTTTCTCATATAGTTACTGGAAGTATTTGTTACATTCAGTATTTAAATGCATTCGTGTTCGGTATTAGTAGTGCATTGCTTTCATAACAAGGTAAGGTTGTGAACTTTTTCACACATCGCAATGGGAGACGGTGAACACCGCCTCTAATGCGTTGGATTGTTGTGTTGTATGGACTTGCATTAGAGGCGGTGTTTATCCATGTAAATTCATGCCAATCTAAGTTTTTCTTGATTATTTTTGACGGTTCACTTTATTTTAATCTTCTGTTTAGAATCTCTGCGTCATTTACAGAGAAATATAAACAAAATGGATGATTTATACAAAAAATTACCATACCTTTGTGGTTGTAGAAGGTTGAATTGTGCTAATTTTGTAGCAAAATCGCCGTTAGTCGCTTCTGTTCACAGAATCTTTATGGCGGCTTCTATTCTCACGAGATTTGATGAGAGTAGCTATTGAATATTGCTGCCATCTATTTAACAATACAGAGTTTATATTATTCATTCGACCATCATGTATTCGATGGAAGAAATCAATGATCTCTATTCCAGCGGTGGCGGTAGGCATATATTTTTGTGAGTCATCATGACTCAGGTAGTTTCAAAAAAGTGAGTCACAAGAAAAAAAGTTGAGTCAAAGCTATAAAAGTGTTTTTCTTGAGTAAAAATGCATACAAAATGTAGAAACCACATACAAAATCTATATTTTGATTTTGTGCATACCTTTTATTGTACTCTTATAGCACATTAACAACTAACAATTAATTAATTAGGCAATTGCAAGAAAAATGTCACTATTAATCATCTGATTATCTGGTCCAGCGAGTCATGGGTGTGAATGGAGTGGGAGAGGAGTTTCTCCCTGTGTGGAGTTACACAAATTGGGGTCAAAGCGTTTCATGTTGAAATTCAACATTTTTGCAATCATTCCAAAGTCTAAAACGGCAATATAAGTCCGACCACAATACTGGGCATCATTTAAATTGAATACGGTAGAATCTTGTAATTATAAAATGAAACCGAAAGTAGATTTGTTTTCATACCTAATTTATCATCATTATCCCCCTTAATGTGCGATCGACTGGATTTTCATGTGCCCATTATCTATCTTCATAGGATCAGCTTCAGATCTAGTGAATCGAAGATCTTAACTTGAGGGAGTTAATTGAAAATACTTGGTGAAAACTTACGATAAATCGGTCACTGTGAGCACCATTGATAAACCTACTGCGCATTACATCTGCGCATGCTGATGAAGGGGAGGGCTCAAGGAAACTTGCTAACTTAGCGAAGGAATTTTGCGAACTTGCGAAGGAAACTAAAGGTTCGTAAATCTAGCGTGTGAACATTCAAGGAAAGATTTTATGCGGTAATTTAGATAAATATACGATCACTAAAATCCTTAGAAGGGAGTATGAAATTAATAAATTATTGTTCAATGTTATGTTCGTTTTATTGCATTTTTGATACGCCCCCTAGCAACGTGCTTCACAAGATAAACAAATCGAGGGATCTATCAATGTTTTCAAGTTTATCATTGAATCTGAATCACAGGGCTTTAAAAATTATATGAAATACCGAAATAAGAAAATGATCGGTAGGAAGGAGGCTCGATTGCGCTGAACGAAATGTTAGATTTCCGGAATTAGCAAAATTATAAATTTGATCAATCACGTATTTTCACGTATAGGGATCAATTTAACTAAGTACCAAGCAGGGATTTTGCATGTGAAACAAACGTGCGTCAGAAAGACTCGGTAGACAATGAATATTTGCGTCAGAGTTGCAAAAATGTGAGTAAAAAACGTAAAAAATTGCATAAAAAAATTCGCATAACATAAAACCAAAGTTTGGATTTGATTTGAAGCCAGAACAGTTACAAGTGATAACAAACATATCGAATCAAGAATCCACTATAGCAGTTTTACCAACTAGTTATTGGAAAACATTCAGCACGTGATCATCAAATTACATCACGTGATCATCTCACTGATTTATGCAACGCATGCGCACTTGAAATTAGGTCAGCGAAAATGTCAAGAAGACCGGTCAGAAATGCAATTTTGTCTTATCTGCAACGATAACACATAATTACTGCAACAAAGCGAAACATTTATGGGTTAATTTTGAAGATTTTTGGTCCCGCTATTCAGTGGTGAAAGAATTTTCAAGATTGAGGTAAGATCTTTGGAGAAAAGTCAAAAACATCAGATCCGGACTTTTCAGCATTTCTTAAATTTGATAAATTTACATAGCACGTTATGCACCCCTGGGCCCGACACGATCCTCAGAGACCCAGAGGATGCATGAATGCACCTACGCAATGTGCATCATTGTTAATCCTGAAATTGCTCATGCATCGATGTTCGATTATGGCACATTGCGACAACACTAGTGGATAAAGTAACCTTCCATCTTCAAGAATAATTGGTAATAAACAGGTGGATCTATGCATAGAATCTGAGAGGTGAAAGAAGGCCTAAACACAAACAAAAAATGAAGTCAAAAAATTGAAAAAAGTTTCAGACCCCACATTTCAAGTAAAGAATACTTACCTAAAATCTACTATTTTGTGTGCAGGGTACACGTATCTGATTGTTCATATATTTTGCTCGTTGATTATGTCTATAACGTATTCATTTTGACCATTTTAAATGGGTAGATTTACATGAAATCGAAAAATATTTCCACAAGTTGAAAATCGAGAACATCCGGGACTTCGCCAATTTTTTCTAGTCTCAGAAAGAAATGTTTTCTTTAATTTCAACGTAAACATTGTACATTTAAATGAAACTTGCAAAAAATGTAATTGAAAATAAATATGACTTCAAAAGAATATTATTGTTTGTCACTTTGTGTATTATACATTCTCATGACTGATTTATTGATAACTCTAAAATATGACCTTGACCGAATTTCTGCAAATTTGCAGCTGATAAAAACACGGATGTTTTTCCACTTAAATCTTTGATTTATAGTCTTCTGATTAATATATTCACATTTCCATGGATGCAGGATGGCAGAGGGATTGACCAATAAACATATTATCATACAAAGGAAAAATTTAGTGCATATTTGCAGGTACATCATTTTGTTTTATTTTTGGGCTGGGGGTGTTTTTCAACTTGTGAACCATCATCCATACCATACTCCCTGGCAGTGCTAGTCTTTAATATACCACTGTGGTTGGCAGATGTTTCACAGTAAGCATGGCAACTTTGCATTGGCATACTTGGACAGCTGAATAATAGTGACAGTCTAAGTAGTTTTAAATCATCATACTATGCCTATGTCAATAACTGCAATTAAATAGGTGTGTTTTTAATATAGATCTATGTTTTAATGTAAAGGGTCCCCAGTGCACAGCAACAAGCCTGCACTACTGGTAAAGAGGGGTGATGTCAACGCGGTAGCCTGACAGTCTCCCCAGGTAAAATGAGTTGTAAACCATAGATCTATTTTTAAATGTTAAGGTTTTAAATTATATTCTATTCAAATTCTATCACTGTTAAACTATATATCTGCTTTATATGGGCTTATTAGCCTTTTGCAGATTATTGACATAGACATAGACATAGTGACCTTTAAAACATGAATAATGAGATCCACGTCTTACTTTTGGTCTCTATCTGTCTTATATCAGTATCATCAATCCTAGCAAGTATTGGAGCGCTGAAATACTTCTTTTTGGATCAAGACTTGTAAATTGTTCATCAAGTGAATGTTTTTTCGACCCATTCCCAATATGGCGGTTTGCTAGGAGCGAGATATGCAACGAACAAATGAATTTTGACAATGAGTTAAGTTCGGACAACCTCTGGAGATTTACGAAAATGTTTGAGCAGAAAACGCCATATTGGAATTTGGCAGAAAAAAACATTCACTCGATAACAATTACAAGTCTTGATTGAAAAGGAAGTACTTCAGCGCTCCAATACTTGCAGGGAAGGATGATAATGGTGTATGACATAGTTGGAGAACAAAAGTAAGCTGCAGATCAACTTAATTTGTGTTTCAAAGGTCACTATTATTCAGCTGTCCATTTCTCCGTTGGAGAGCCATAAGTTTCAAAATCTAACAATGGCTCTCGAAGTGAGTAAGTGCAGTGGTACTTAAGGTACAGCTGGAAAATAACATTTTGGTAAAAAATTGCCATACCGGCACATGTTATTTTCTGGTACAAAATAGAGTATTACATTGTCTTCTTTAAGAATATCTGGTATGAGTTCAATGGGAACTCCAGGAAATTATGATATTTCACACTTTCTATTTTTCCAAATTTTCTTTCAAAGTTTCCAGACAACACAGGAGCTACCATTGACCTGTTTCCTTGTTTTCCCTCATAGGTTTAACATGGGGATTTTCACACCTATTTTTCAAACGGTATATTTGTTCATATCCCCGTACGAGGGTACAGAAAAAATTATTAGAAACGATTGATCCCTTATTAATCTTAATATAACAGCTATTTTTTCATTGTATTGATTCATAGCATGGTGAAAGCAATGATTGAAAAGTGAGAAAATATTCCGGAAGAGAAGGTCACATGATCAGTTGACTAGTCGCCATATTGGAAAAAACAATTCCATTGGACTTTCAATACTTTTATGCCAATCTTACCGCACTACAAACTGCAACATCGATGCAACAACTGAATAAAATATTCATCTTCAAATTACATCATAAAGTGACGTTGAAAACCAACAAATAACTGAGCAGTAGACCAAAGAAGAAGCGTCTCTATTATCTAGGTCACTCTGTTCAGTGGTTTGAAAGCAAAGCTATAGTACTCGTTTCCGAATTTTGTTGTTAATTGTACAATCTTTTATTGATTAAACTGGGTATACTGACTATTAAAGCAATGACAAAGAAGAATACTTCCGATGTTGTCATTGTTTTATTTAGCATGCGGGTGTAAAAACAAAATTGCGTAATTAGTTTGATTTAGAACTTTCGGGTCACGCAAATAGCTACGCGAAATGCATAGTGAGAAAATATTGACCAATCAAATTTTGTCCTTTTTGAGTGCTTTTTCAGTACATATTTGCGAACGTTCTGATTCAAAGAGCGAATCGCGAAAGGGAGAATTCACCACTACCACCAGGATTTGCTGCTACCAAAAAAGAACTGAAGTACCATTTTGACCAAATATTGACAGAGCTTGAAGAATGGTGTTCTCGTCATTTCAGATTAACAGTGAAGAACCTGATAGACAAGTCATGTAGAGAATCAATAGAGGGTGCCACTGATGAACTTGACAATTTTCTAGCTGTCATTGAGAGATTGCTGAATTATAGGATCAAATGTGAGTGTTGTAACAGTTGTGAGTGTTGTCATAATGTGGGTGTTGTTGCAATTTACAATGTGAGTGTTGTCAGAATTCTGAGTGATGTCATAATGTGAGTGTTGTTGCAATTTATAATGTGAGTGTTGTCAGATTCTGAGTAATGTCATAATCTGAGAGTTGTTCCAACTTACAGTGTGAGTGGTGTTAGAAATTTGGGTGATGTCAAAATCTGAGTATTGTTACAACTTACATCTGAGTGTTGTCATAATTCTGAGTGTTGTCATAATGTGAGTGTTGTTACAATTTATAATGTGAGTGTTATTACAACCTACAATGTGAGTGTTGTTACAATTATCATTATTTGAGTGTTGTAACAACATACAATGTGAGTGTTGTCAGAATTCTCAAGTGTTGTCACAATGTGAGTGTTATTACAACTTACAATGTAAGTGTCATCACAATGAGTGTTGTCATAATGTGAGTGAAGTTACATTTTGCAATGTGAGTGTTATCACAATGTGAGTGTTGTCATAATTGTGAATTTTGTCATAATGTAAGTGTTATTACAACTCACAATGTTAGTCACAATAAGTGTTGTCATAATCTGAGTGTAGTTACATTTTACAATGTGATTATTGTCACAATTTGAGTGTTGTCATAATGTCACTGTTGTTGCAACTTACAATATGATTGAACACATCATACATTTTGAAACATATTCAAGTTTTGCCTGTTAGAACCCTGTGTTTAGTTTAGTCACCTGATGCTAACACTTGATTGGTTATAGCTTCGTGAATTATGAAATGATGGTCAACTGAGATGTGAGAATACAAGTCTTGGTGATGGGTAGGAGTATGAGATAGGAGGCAGAGGCTTGTTGAATCCATAAAACATGAAATATCCATGCAGTTTTGATAGAGGACTGAAGATTTTTTTCTTTCATCCTGCTTTTAAAAGTATGAAACAATTCTCAATTAAAAGTAAATAATTATTATGAGTTCTCTATGTTGATCCCATATTGAGAGAAACTGCAATGATTACTAATATATGGGAAACATCATATATGTAACTGCATTATGTTTCAAGTTGTAGTTATAACTTGTATTTCTAATCTATTTTGTCTTGTAGCCCTGCAAACCTGGTATGGAGGGGAGGAGTTACGGCATTTCTGGGACTATATAAGAGTGGCCTGTGTCAATGTCCCTAATAACTGTATCAAGAATATAGAAACCATTGAGACATTGAAAACATCAGTTGGCAAGGTACATACGATATATTTCATATTCAAACATGACTGTATTCACGCCTTCTATAAACTGTGAACAAAGTCATAATTTCACCCAGGGCATATTCGCGAACATACCCCTGGTGATACGAGTAATGTGTGACATCATAACGGCGGGCAGTAGTAATGGCGGACCAAAATGAATATTCGAAACATCGTGGTTAGTTTTCATGTTCGAATCGTAATATAGAACTCAGAGCAGGGGTAATGTCGTCGAATACACCCCTTAGGACTAGGCACGAAATCTTTCGAACCCCTCACTCCCTTCGGTCGTTCAGGTTACAGAAAACGTTTGTGCCTAGCCCTGCGGGGTGTATTCGACTATATTACCCCTGCTATTCGGTCTATATTTCTTAAATATATGATTAAACGTGATAGACTCTACTTCCTCGTCATACTCCTCTTCAAAAGAAATAAATTATGTTTGATGTATGTTCATGTTTGTTTACCGTGTCTCCTATTGTATTTTACATTTATTCCTCATGTAAATGAAAGAATAATGCATTTTATTACAGTTGATTACCTAGGTTATCCCCAAAACCAAATCACAGTTAGTATAGTATCTTTGTTCAGCTTTGGCATCTACACCAATTGCCACTACAGTGTAGTCGTTGTAAATGCAATCAGATGGTGACACTTTGTCATGTTAATGCCTTCTAACTTGACAAGATCCATGGGTTTTCAAGAGAAAGATCGCAACATGTACTGTTAGATATCTTATTCACTGTATATTATGCATTTTCCAGGGTCGTGCCTGGCTGAGGCTGGCTCTTATGGAAAAGAGGCTGGCAGAATACATTGCAGCAGCTATACTCAACAATAAAGTAACAAAGTAAGTACAGAATATATACTTTCTTATTTTCTCTTTTTCTGTATTAAAGTACAAGTACCTGATCGTTCAATAAAATTGCAGAAAATGCTCTCATTTCATAGGTTTTTAATATTTTTTCATGAATTTTCACATAATAGCATAGATATATTTTTAGGCTTAACAATTTGATGAATACTGTTGGCAAATCTAAATCTAGTTAAATTAATCATTGGGTGATTTTATTCAAAATTGGAAAAAACAATTGATAGATCCCTTCACTTCAAGGTAGCACCAACAACAATGTCTAAAGTTTTTATGTCCTGAATAAGTAACCAAAGACTGCTTAAGGAAAGACCAAGTTATATGTATTACGAAATCACTCTGCTCACCTTAGCTTAGCATTGTCAACCATCTTAGAATTTTACCTACAAGATGGTGCATTGGGAAGATTGAAATACATATCCAATAATAAAAGTGCACTGTTGTTTTATTATCTCATGTTCTCATCTCCTTGTAATAAAGGAAACTGACGTTTTGATATCTGATATCCATTATCCCCACTATAATACGAGTCTCCATTATCACTTTATTTTAGATGCTTACTTAAGTGCTTTTCTCAGCTTATAAATGGCAGAAATTATTCTTGAACAATTCAAATCTGGGCATATGATTAGTCCTTGAACCACATACAAACATCCAAGTTCATAGAAACTAATACAATTTGAATTACAGTACGAAATATACAAAAAATAATTACAGTATATGACAAAAATTGAATAATTTTTTTGCAGTGTGCTAGTGTTTTTAGGTTGTTGGTCAATGCAGCTGAAAAAAACATTCTTTTCAAATTGTTTTTTCAGATAGATTCATCATTAAAGTGGTTAAATGAAAAAAGAATTCTACTAGCACTAAGACTTTCAGTGTAATTTTAAAAAATTTCAAAAATGCTTATGATATACACTGCAGATAGGCATTAAAGTAACACAGTATAATATTGTATGCTACAAAATACAAAAATATAATTTTCTTGAAAGGTGAAAATAGGAAAAGGTTCATTCAACTCAATTCATGTAGTATTGAGTGTTTCTGACAAATCTGATTATTTTACAATGAGGGTGCAATAATATTAAAACTCAAACCATGTGAAATTCAACCCGAAGTCACCCAACCCAGTATCACTTTACCCCTATTCCAAAATATAATATAAAGGCCTCCTCACATATGAATGAATCAACAAAATGCAGCCTTGCGAATTGAGTAAATTGTAAATTATGGCGATTTGGATTGTAAATGTGCGAACTGAAGCGCAGCTTTGCGCATGCATACAAAGTCATCCAAAGCTTTCTGAAAAGAAACCTCCGCATGCGAACACCTCGAGGATGTACAACATAAAGATATTGATAAGAAAGTTTTATTTGTCAGTACACACAAGTCAACGTTGGTTTTTTTTCGTTCATATGTGAGGGGCCTTAAAGGTTATTTATATAATTCTGTGTCAACCAGTAGGTCTTCTAAGGAACTGATAACACACTCAAGGGAACTGATAACACACTCAAGGGAACTGATAACAAACTCAAGGGAACTGATAACACACTCAGCTCTTCTACGGAATAATTGTTGCCATCTTGGGAAACACTAGGGACATTTTACATAAATATTTGGGCCCTCTATCGAACTATGCGACTCTTGAGAACCACAAGGGGGTTTCTATGTAACCATAAGGAACTTTTTGCCACAACTAGGGAAACACTAACTTGACCTCTTTTTCCATTACCGCAAGGGCCTCCTATTGACCATGTACAAACCTGATAACTTCTACCTTCTGAAATATTATGTTTAAATACATATTTCTTAGTTCAGGGTGAACAGACCACCTGTATAAAATATGAAAATATGTTTTATTTATCGTTACTTTTATGTTTCTTTTGCAGAATGTTTTACAGTGAAGGTGCAGTGATGCTATCAGAGGATGCCGGTAGTCTGGTGACAGGTGTTCTTGTTGGCCTCAATGCTATAGACTTCAGGTACAACTGCCTATAACTTACAATGATTGAAATGTCACAATAGTCATATTTTTCAAGTATGAATAAAGTGGAAAGGAGTTCCTTTGGCAAGGAAGAAAAGAGAGATATACAAACTACAAATTATAAGAAATTGTAAGAAAAAAAAATTATTTCAAAATTAAAGGCTGATTTTTGGGGTCACTCTGTATAAGTGAAATGGGTGTCTCTGAAACTTAAAGAGATTCTAAATCCATGATGCCTGGCCTGTCTGTATTACATTGTGTTTTAAACCTTAGTGAAATAGAAAAAGGATACATCCTCCAGATGTGAAGTCACATTACCCCAGGTTTTTGTTTCAAAGAAGTGAAATGAAATATTCACACACATAGATGTGTAGAAAATTAGATTTTACAGAAAACAGGGTGATTTATCGAGTTTACGTTTCAAGATATTTCAAAATGTTCTTAATACATTGTTCAAGATTACATCTCTTCAATGTTATTCAATATACAACATACTTTTCTTATTACAGTTTTGATGTGAAGGGTGAAAACTTAGAGTCCAGTGGCTGTCCAGTGATAGATTTCATCCCCTACCTTACATTCATTGGCAGGTATGAGACATTTTGAAATATAGTACTTTGTATAGCAATGTACTATTAAATGGTTTACTTGAGACTAATACAATGAATAAGACCCACTGGAGCCTCCATTGACGAAAATGTATCATGATCAAAAGTAAAACTGAAGAAAAATTACCAAATCTTCATCACACATAGAATAAAATGTCACCTGCCTTTGAAAAGCCCTTATTATGACTAATTAGCAGATAATCATAAGGTATAAGAGAAAATCTGAGGACTTATCATACATAAAAGACATTGCACCAAAGTATTGAAATAACTATCATTGCATATCTATGTGATTTATACAATCTCCTAAAATGTGTCATCCACCGGTGTCATCTCAGATGCTTCAAAAAGCCACAATAATTGAGATGATGGGGTCCAAAGTCTAAAATATATCTGGTGAGAACCCTGTTGTATGTTTTAATGATGCTGTAAATGCATGTTCATGTGATATCTCTAGGGATGAGGATGTAGAGGCAGACACAGTAACCAACAGGAACACTAACAGTGACACCAATGAACTACAGGAGAAATATAATAACCTTGCTGATAAATGCAAGACCATAACTGAACAAAAGGTACAAACTAAATATGTAGTTTTACTGTACATATTCACACACTACCCTACCACGTGACCACGTTTAAAAGGGAAACAGGGTACAGCTAAGTTGCAAATGGAGGACGTGGGTTTAATTCCATATTTCTGAACGTAAAATACATTTTACATTTATTTCTAGTGTTCTACCAGACATAGAATTGATTCATCAAGCAGTTTGTAGAAAATTGTTGGCAAAAAACCACTATAGGCAAAGATAGATAATAGTGGGCGCAGTGAAGCAAAACCCAATGCAATACACGATACATTTCAGTAAATCTGTCAACGTACAGGGAGCATGTAAGTTTCCCTTCGAGAATGTTACATTGATATGTAACAAAACCCCAGTAAACTGTTATTTAAACTGCGTGTCATCGTGTTATATGTGGATACGTTTTCCAGTATGTTATTCAACTGTACTTTTGTGAATTAATTGTTTTTCTAAAATCTTAAGATGCAAAAAAGTCGTCTCAGAAATGTATCTTTATTTTGCCGTAAGGCATAACATATTGTGAAACATTTTTCCTCAAGGAGGATAATGTTTGTTTCGAGGTGTCTTCTTGTGATGAGCGTTTCATGATTAAATGCAAAATCACTGGAGCAGATACCATCCAAAAACATCTGACATTCAACACGTCATATAAGACTACATCGATCTGGTATTAATTTTTTTACAATAATAGAGAAATACGACGTCATATCACCTCTACAGCAAATCGTGAAGAACAAAATGTCGTGACATGATGGTATTTTGAACAAACTATTTTAAATGATCGGTTTTTGAGGACGGTAGTGAATTAGACCATTCAAGGGGTTATATAGAAAGATTCTTTACATGTAGTTCACGCAATTTTAATTATTCTGAATAGCGGATAGTCATTAATCCTGATAGCCGATAGTCATTTATCACTTACGTGTTCATATTTAATTTCGTTATTTTATTTCAATTTGATACCCTATAAACACGTATAATCTAGCGTTCTTGTTAATTTAATGACTAAAATGCATATACGACCTAAAAGCCCGTGTCTAATTCTACTAAATAATGTTTACTTTATTTGGATTAAATAACAATTGATGACACCTCAAAGCATCAACAGGCGGCCTTTTTAGCATTATTTTCACTGTTTGCAACGTAAATATACATGAGATCGGGACATAGTATGTCTGTATAATCAGCTTACTTTCTCGCTCCCTGTACTATTGAACAATTTACATTCCTCGTACCCTGTATTGATCAACTTTTGCAGCTGTGTACCGTGTACTATGACGTATCAAATATTTTAAAATTTAAAACGATATTATTTACATTCTTTCTTCAACTATCATATAACTTGGAACATGGACTTCACTATTGCACCACTGAAGTTCAGCGAATAGCAATATTGACTCACTCCGAGCACCAAACGTATTAACCTTTTCACTAAGCAGTCGATATACTCAAAAGCGACCTGATTGAAAGCCAAAAAATTCGCGCATGCGCTATCGAGGTAGGGTAGTGTGATTCAAGTAAGGCCATCACAGTATGAAGCACCATGAAATTTTCAATGGGGAACAAAATAACCAAATGTATTTAAAAGTTCAATATGTTATGGGTGGAATTTCTCAAACATTTGAGCTACAGAGACAATGGAGACAATCAAGGATATAGATGTATGTATTTAGTAGATCATAAACTGCCGTGTGTGTTGTAGGCTTATCTAGAGGAGCTAGTGAGACACCGTGACTCTCAGATCTTTGAGCTACAGAGACAAAAACAGACACTCATGGCGACATTAAATGGCTTTGAGGTTGATTCACGTAAAGAACGCCAACAATTAGAAGCTGTCATAATAGAACTGCAAACTCAAATGTAAGTTTGGGGTAAACATCAGCAATCCACGTAAATAAATGAAATTATTATAAGCTGATTTCTCTTATGGAATTCGAAGTTATTTTGAATGATGCTTTTTTACAAAAAATATTAGTTGTTTTTAAGCAAATTTTAAAAGGCTTTATTCCACAGAAAACTCATGAATTTTTGTAATATTGTGTTAGTTAATTTGTTGATAAGCAAACACATATTTAAAACACTGTTTGATGTCACATTTTATTTAGTGTAAATAATTAGAATAAAGCGTTAGATCTTGAAATAGTCAATAAGAAAAGCATGTGTCCAATTTGAAATCTCAATAGGCCATTTGTGCTTTATTAATACATCATGCGCACCGTCACCATGGCCAATGATATCACAATAAAATCGTGCATTTGAAAATAAATATTGACATTGATATAAGTCTTTAAATGAATCTGAGATTAAGGTCTAACTGTGATCTATCAGCAGTAGGCAAAGTTATTCATTTGTCTTTGTTCTTTCGAAAATAAATAAGAGCATGTTCTAACCCATTCAACATACAGTAAAATCTGTAAATGGAACACCTCTGTAAGTAGAACACTTCCATAAGTGGAATGCTTTTGAACCAATCAACCTCACGGGGGTAAAGCAGACCCGATGATGCAATGAGCTTGCTCGGCGGTATTATGACTGTGTAACGGGTCTTAATGTATAAGTGTGCTTGGCGGTAGGTTCAAACAATGTGGATCCTCAAAGCACATGCTCATGGTATATTCGTGGTCTAACACCCGTGAACCTATTGACTTCTTGTTAAATTAACCTCTGCAAATGGAACACCTCCCAAGTGGAACACTTTAGAGGTACCAAAGGTGTTCCACATACACAGGTTTTTCTGTATCTATAATATTACACATTTAGGACTTCTGCTAAGGAGGAGAATAGAAGGATGTATCAGCAGCTCCAGGCACACCTCAGTCATGCAGGGTCTTTGGGAGATGTACCAATGAGAGATCTCAATTCCCCAAGAAAGCGTGCCTCAGACAGCGATGGGTTAGAATAAGAATATCAACAATATATCAATCAATAGATCAATGTTTTATATTTTATGTTTCACACTAAAACTACCAAAAATGTGATCTCTGGTTTAGTAGGTGTAAAAGACCAGTTTGTATAATTGAAAAGTGCAAATGTCATGTCATAATCATATATTTTCTTTTTTATAATAAAGTTGATAAAAAGAATTACATGTGCATGCAAAATTATGTGCAAAACTTTTGAGGTCATGAGAATTGTCACAATATTTGAAGTTGGATCTCCTTGAAACTATTTATGAAGTTTTACAAATCTAGTTTGAATGAAATAAATGTTATTCATTGGATCTACATACTACATTCACCACTTTATTTGTATTATTTATTTTCAGGCATAGTTTCACTTCAATGGATCATGTAGCAGCAAGTCCCCCATTGAAGGAAGAATCAGGGAGCCTCATTCCTATGACAGGCTCCTTCACATCTGAATTCAGTATGAAATCAACAGATATACACATCATCCGGGGAATGTCAACAGATGTCTATCCGATTGATGAGGTTCCGACTCCCAGTAGTGACACTGATGGAACTACTTCCAACATAAAAGAAAATAGTCCACAGCAAATGGAAGTATTTGAAGTGGAGCCGGTGAAGGAAGGAAATTATGTGGCAGATTGTGGACTTTTTGTCAAGGACGATACTCCTTTTGAAGAACAGTCAGATGATGTTGCTGAAAAATCAAATGAACAACAAAGCCAGCCCCCTGATGTCATTCCAGTATTAGAAAGTAGTTCCAGTCAGCAACAAGAAAATAGTTCCAGCCACAATGGACCAAACAACACATCTGATACTCCAGAAACAACAGAACAAAAACAATCTATCAGTGAACTCAAGGAGGAGAACACTGAGGCATCAATCAAAAGTGATATTCCTAAAGGACTAGAGGGACCTGATGGAGATTCCCTTAAGAAAGTTGTTGCAACAATAATTGAAGGCGAGGCAGACTCGTCAGGTTTAGACAGTCCTATGTAGGGTATAGAAAGTGCAATAATGCTCAATTGATTCTCTTGCCAAGAGACTACATCCTGACCAGATTTATCTTTCTATTAAGAAATTGAACAAGGGGACAGAGGTTGAAGAGATACGAATATTGGAATAACTGATTCGCTTGTATTGACCTGATTTGAATTTTTGTTATTAAAAAATACTCACCCTCAACCAGCTCCTATGGTCAATTTAAGAGGAGACAAGCATTCCTGTCATATAGATTATGTGTGTCCCCTTTTTCAATGGATCGAGGTTTTTGGTATTTATCAATAGCAATTTACATGCATCAAGACCCATGGTCAAATAATGCAATTTGGTTTTGAGCTCATCGGAATTTCCATCTCAATCAGCAAGTTCTAGTTGCAGACATGACATATACTATAGCAGATATTAGGTCTTTAGAACGCATTTATTGTATCATATCAATATTTTATTAATTAGAACAACATGTATGTGCTATGATCCAAAATACATTTATATTATCACAAATGTTATGGGCTTGGTCTTGAAACCCCATGAGGCTACATTCTAGTATATAATGGTATATTTTTGGGCCCAATAGATTAAACAAAAAAACATGTAGATCCATGTTAATTTATTTTTAAGTTAATAATATAATGACAACTTAGTCATTTACATAAAAAGATCGAAATATGCATAGCTTAAATGACATATATTACTACCTAGAAATAAAAATTGCTTTTTCAAGTTTTGATTTACTGTATTGATTTATTTTAGGCCTATAACAAATGTTTGTTATCAATTTATTTAGTTTATATAAACATGTAGTTGTATATCATGAATATTGCCACTAGAACACAGGCAGTACACTGACAGTTGCACTTTTAAGTGTAGCTTCTTTATTCTACATGTAATTATCGTTTATTTATATATTATTTAAATAACCATGATTTAGCTATCCAAAAATTGGATGTAAATGATATTGTAATTTATGCCAAATACTGCATATCTGTGCCATAATGTATCACTTAAAAATCTTATAATTTGCAATATTTCATTATAATGTAAATGAGCGATGGATTTAGGATTTTGTACCTTGAAATCAAAGATTCTTTATGAAATATAATCTTCCGTATGATCACTTGTAAAATTTCCCAATCTCCATTTTTGGTTATGTGTGTCACTCTTAGTTGGTTTTAAATGTTCCAAATTGCAAACTATTCATGTGTGCAATCTTTTCATGTACACCATATCTGATGGTTAAGAACATTCCCTATTAGTATTTGTAAGTAAATGCAAATTATGACAATTTTGATTTTAGAAGTATAGCAAAGTATTGAAAGAACAAAAATGTAATGTAGTTCAGTATTAATGAATAGTGTGTTATGGAGCATTTGTTCTTTTAGGTTTTTCATTTTTTTCTTTACTTAACAATATTCCTTATGTCCCAGTAAAACTTTTTTGCTCATCAATTCTGACTTTAACTTGTACTTTTGATCAGTCTGTTATAGTATCATCAAAAATATAGAAGACATTAATGGTGAATGGTATGAGACAAACAATGTCCGATTTAAATGTTTCTGTTGGAAGTTTTCGATGCAGAATCATAGTACTGCTTTATTGTACTCCCAATATGTTAAAGTGTCATGATTTCAAACATGGTTGATGAGAGATACATATGTATTTTCACTACTGCCAATATTGGAAGCTGACACAAGGGACCCAAGGAGAATTGAAAAAAATGTGTAACACTATTTGATAGTAATTGTTACAGGGTATTACAATCAATTGCAAATTCTTTACATTAAAAATCTTTATATCTTTCTTGAACCTGACTTTCTGTTAATTATGTATTGACGTATAGTTGTACTTTTTGACTGCCCTGTTATGTGTTGGGCAGCAGGCCTTATTTGTTCCATCAGTACTTTGACAGTACATGTACAATTTATCCTATGTAATGCACTCATATTTTTATGTAGAGAAGAGTGACCTATTTAACAGATTTTTCAACAAAAATGTTTCAAGTATTGAAGGTGTTCACTAACTTTTAAAATAGCACATTCCTCATTATTCTGTAGTTGGAAATAAAAAAGGCGTAACTACAGTACGTTTATACATCTTGTTTTGTTTTAAAGCAATGTTATGAAGTAGCGATTGTTGATTTCTCCCAATTGAAGCAAAGGTAGGAGCTGGGACGAATGTTGTAAACCAGCATGAACTCCACAAAATGGATATGATCATTCCTTCTGACAAATGGCAGATTACGAAAATTGTTCACAGGCATATGGATTGATGAGGTGTTTACTCCATGGGCTTAGCATGTGAGCCAAAAGGCAGAACTGGATGAGATGGTTACTCTATGGGCTTAGCATGTGAGCCAAAAGGCAGAACTGGATGAGGTGGTTACTCCATGGGCTTACCATGTGAGCCAAAAGGCAGAACTGGAAGATGAAGAGTTTCCATAATGAGTTAAAATATGTGCAATTCAGACTAGCACTTTATTGAAGATAGCTCAAGTCTATCAAAACAACCATGCATATTTTGATTATTTTGGTTATTTTTGACATTTCTTTTTTATTAAAAGATCTATTTTTGTAATGTCCACAAAATTCAAATTCCTTTGGAGGAACCTTATCATAAAAACATATACTTTTATACAAAACTTTGTCCAAGTAGTTAATGTGTGTTCTCAACTAGAAAGGATGTTTGGAAATAAGAACAAGAGATTTAATATGGAATGTCTATACCATGTGCATCTTCACTTTTGATAGGACTATAAAAAGAACAAGGAAACATGAAGAGGAGATATACCCAGAATCCTTTGATGAACCTCTCATCCCCACATGGAGAAAGGTTTATCTTTGAATACAATAGTGTATGTATTTGTCACCTAAAAATGATGGCTATAACAATATATTCTGACCCCGTTTTCTCAGACATTATGGTTAAATAGGTTAGATATCCCTGAAGATCTAGTCTCTCTCCATCCCCATCTTGTCCAGCACCAATGGATATCAAGATTTTTGTTTCCTGTACTGTTGCAACGTTACATCAATCCATATATATGGTATTTGATATTTCATGCCTTTCAAATTGTCCTGCATCTATTTTTTCTTGGTGTCTTGATTTAAATACCACTTGACCCAAATGATGACATTATTTGGATCATATATGAAATTCAAACATGACTGTGCTCTAATTGAATTTCTCAACCAATCAGAATGCAGCATAGCCAATAATGAATGTTCTATATTTCTCCATAGATGCACGACCATGCTCTATTCAGTCTGCTTCCAGGAATCAATGTATATGTATTGTGTTGTATTATGACGTCACACCTGGGAATGGCGAAAATAACAGCAAGTTTGGTTATTTCATTGACCTCAATTCTCTGAACAATGTTTTCATTTTTATGTTTGAATCGGAATAAATTATGATAGGCCATTCAATATGGTGAAATTCTACACTCATTGGACAGAATGTCAGTACAAATGCACTCACCTTTTATTCGTGCTTTGAACGACATTTTGTCCAACTCAGGCTTTTAAAAGTGGCATCTTAATACAAAATGGGTGCAATTTTGGCTGAAGAAGTTTTTGACTAATCAAAAGTTGGTAATATCTCTAGTCTATTCAGTAGCAACAGCAACATTTAGAATTAATAATATTTATTTTTCATTCACAACAGCACATAATACAGTATATGCATGTTATCACTGGCCTTGTTGCATGTTATATGCTTGTATTGTAATATACATGTATTGTTATATGCATCTACTGTTTATGTAAACATGAGGATGACAGACATTGAAAAACTTTCAGATTCATATTTGAGTCCAATACCATAGGGGTCACTAATTGTAGGTCATGTATCGTGGGGTAGCACTAAACTTGGCATAAGCCTTTATGACTTTGTTAACTGCTTCTAAAAAGTCCTTTTCAGTTGCCATTTTCCTCCTGGCTCTGATGGCAAACATTCCAGCCTCTGTACATACACTACGGATCTCAGCTCCTGCAATTACAAAATATTACTCCATTATGATTTGTGCAATATACTTTTATGTACAGGGTGGGCAATAATTTTTTATCACTTCCAAGGATTGGTGATATATTTAGGTATATAGCCACAGGTGGTGACATTCTGTCGTGTTAATGATTTGTTATATTATTTTTTGTGTATTTGTGATCCAATAATTTTTAGTACACATTCATTTATAGCAATACAGTTTCAAAGATGCTCCATAATTTTGATTCTAAAAAATGAATTCACCACCCCAACATTTATTTATTTACATAAAATAGAAGTTGGATAGCTTTACCTACAATAGCAACTCTTCTCATTTTCCACTTACCTGTACTGTTGGGGCATAACCTGGCTAAGAGTTCATATCGAATGTCTTTTTCCACACTCATAGACCTAGCATGGATTTTGAATATATGAGATCGGCCCTGAAAAATAAGGAATAAGATGATTTGAGACATGATTGAAGGATTATGAATATTTGATTAAAGGTGAAATCTAGATTTCAGTTTCTGCAATTACAAACATTGTCACATAAACATTCATACTCATTTCACCTGTATCTTTTCAACCCAGTTAAGCCTTATCATACTTTTCTCAGCAAATTAACAACGGACATTATTTCCTTGAATCCCTTCACTTCTTTAGCAAAGAGAAAAATTTGGTAAATATTCCTGAATTCACCAAAACAAAGTGGTTGCCATATCAACCCAAGTAACATACCTCTAAGTCTGGGAGACCAAATTCTATTTTTCTATCGAGTCTTCCTGGTCTGACCAAGGCTGGATCTAGTGTATCAGGTCTGTTTGTGGCCATGAGTACTTTAATGTTCCCCCTTGGGTCAAAACCATCAAGTTGGTTGATCAACTCCAGCATAGTTCTCTGTACCTCATTGTCCCCTCCTGCACCATCATCAAACCTTGCACCTAGAATCAGATCACATTGTATTCAATTGCAAAAGAATCTTTGAACCATAATTTAACTCTTCTACATGGGTGGAAATGCAGCTTAATCAGATCATTCCTGGAATTGAGAAAAATGCACTCCATTGCATCAGCAATATGGCTACAAAAATTATTTTATAAATCTGTAAAATAACACATTCAGGATTAAGATAATGGTTTCTCTCTGGTAGGGGAGGGAATTGTTTAAGACACTGTTTCTTCCCTATCCCTGATGATTATGAAGATGAGGAGATAAGTCACAATTCACAGGAAACCTCTTCCCCATGCCACTTTTGTTTCATGCAAGCAAGTCATAATATTGCTGAATGCAATGCCAGAAAGTGACATGTTTTTGTTCATTTTACTTCTGCAGCGACACAAACAACACTTTTTTCAACCAATCAGTAATTAATGATATGACATAGAATAAAAGTCCATCGTTACTTGAGGGTCATGGTACAATGGGAGGTTATCATCTGAAAATTTAAAAATGAACAGTAGCAATAGACCCAAACTAACTGATTTACAGTAAGTTTATGTATTATTATCACTTCCTATTAGGGCTGGCACGGAACGGAATTATTGTCCGAACCGTCCGATTTTGCCTTCGGAAACGGACTTTCGGACCTACCTTCTCATATTCCGACAATTTTCGGAACTTTTATTTTCCTTAAAGAACATTCACTTTTCGTTATAGTGACACGCTAACTCGCTATAGCGAACTAGTACTATGAAACGAATTCAATAAATATATATAATTATTAAACATTTTCACTCGGTAAAGTTGTTTTATATGTAATGAATGATAGAAATAAATAAAGTATGATTGTTTTATATATATTCAGTACCTATAAGAAAATACAATTATTGTAAGAAAGACAATATACAGTAACAGTTGTATTGCCAAGGTGCCAAGAAGGCAAGGACATTAACATTTTGCAATTAGTTTTGAACATTTATGCCACTTGTTCTGGCAGTTAGATAGTGCTAGTGTTTGTATTTAATAAACATAACAGCTTATATATGTATATAGTTGTACACTGCTGTTCCAATGGTAACAAAATGAGAACTTAAGGGGAGAAGAAGGAACTATTTTAAATAAGGTCCGAAATTCCGAAAGTTCCGAATTCCGGAGCAAAGTTCCGAATTCCGTTCCGTTCCGATTCCATTCCGTTCCGCGCCAGCCCTACTTCCTATCAAATTCTTCACTTTTGTGAAGAGAAACTATTGTACTTCTATATAAAAGATGGCATTGGTTGTAATGTATATTGATCAATATCAACATTTATTGAGATCAATTCTCGAGGGTGAATTCAAAAATGTAAAATATTTACAGTTTTTAAGTTCTGCGACTCTGATTGTTCAATCCTGTTATTTCAACCTTTTATTGACCATTTTATTTACAAGTGTCTTTTTTTCAAAATAGATGAAAGGAAACTGACATGAATGCCAAATGTGTGATAAATATACTTAACAAACACTTCAGGTTTTGATTTGCTCCCTAGCATGTACAAAGTACAAACCATTACATTGATTTTCTGATACATGCATATGCTTTTTTCAATGCTATAGGTATACAGGTTAGTTCTTATACAAGCAAAGAGGTTGTAGTATAGTCTAGTCAGCTTTCAGATATCTAGACTACAAAATGGCAGCCGCTAAATCATTTATTGAGGAATATACTGAACTGTTGATGTGTCCTATATGTCTAGACACAGTGAAGACACCAAAGTCTCTAAAATGCCTACATTCATTCTGCGAAGGATGCTTAGATGAATGGATTCAGGCTGAAAAGGACAGCAGAAAAAAGACCTATCCATGTCCAGTATGTAAATGTGAAGCAGGTATTCCAAATGGAGGTGCCACCTCATATAGGACTAACTTCACCATGAAGTCAATGGCTGAAGCCCTGGAGAGAACCAAGAAACAATTAGGTAAATCTAGCATAAACTGTGACATTTGTGCACAAGGTAAACAAAATACATGTGCTGTAGCTAGATGTATCGAATGTGCTGAGTATTTATGTGACGCTTGTGACAAATATCACGGCAGAATAAAATTATTGAAATCTCACAAGCGTGTTAAATTGACTGGAGATCCTGAGTTAGACTCCAAGATTGCAATAGACAGTTTGGTTCAGAGAAATATTGATTGTCCTGAGCACAACGACCAACCTTTAAAGTTCTACTGCAAGAAAGATAAAACCATTGTGTGCAGAGACTGCTGTATTACTGATCATTCAGGACATTCATGTGTGAAAATTGAAGATGTGGCAAAGGAGGAACTCCGCAATGTATCTGCTTTGATGGGACTAGCCATCCAAAGGAAAGATATACTTGAAAAGCAACTTAGAAACTCTGATACTTTGAAAGACACCCAGGGGAAAAAGCTACAGAAACTTCTCAGTTCAATAAAATCAGATCGCAGAGCTATGCAAAGCGAACTTGACAAGTACTTTAATAAACTAGAAAGGGATGCTAAAGAGGTGCACAATACCACTGTCAAACAGACCGAATCTCAAATAAGTGATATAGAGCTACAGAAGGGTGTCATTGAGAGTACATTACTTCACCTGAACTCTCTGCAAAAACATGGACATCCTGTGGAAATAGTTAACTCAAGTGCTGATATCAAACAAACACTACAACATTGGAGTTCAATGGCTTCATGTGTGGACATTGAACCTTATGACAAATCTCTTGACATTGGTACATACATACCTGGCCACTTGGATGTATCTAAACTAGGACAAGTTCTCACATCTACTGATAAGACACATGTTATTGTTTCAGCGACATCTTTACATAGCAAGGAAAGTCCAAAACTATGTACCCCTCACTTACACAGAACTGAACATTTGGTAGATAAGAAGGGTGAATCCTGTGCCATACAGGATATTTGTGTGAATGATAATCAAAATATATTAGTAGTAGAACTTCCTGAGGAACAGAAAAGACTTGTGACTTATGTTAACAGTCCTAGAACATTGAATGAAAAGTCAACAAAGGAAATCAACTCAATTGGAGTGTGTACTGCCAAAGACAATTGCTATGCTGTATGTGATTATACAAACAAATGTGTGGCTATTTATAATGAAAACTTGGTGCACCAGAGAAACATTGGCAAATTCCAAAGTCCACGAGGTTTAAGTATGAACTCTACAGGTGAGCTGCTAGTCATTGACAAATGTGTCTACATTATTGACTACAATGATGGATCTATACTGGCTACAATAGGTGCTGGTATATTGGAGAACCCTTGGTGTGTCACAAGTAACAGTAGATATTCAGTCATTGTATCAGATAAAGGAGAACATTGTGTAAAAATGTACAATAGGAATGGAGATCTTGTGAAGAGCTATGGTACAAAGGGAAGTGCCAATAATCAACTATATGGACCATATGGTGTCTGCACTGACTCACTTGACAACATCATCATAGCTGACAATGGTAACAATAGAATTCACTTGTTGGATCCCACTGGGAAGTTTATCAAGTATCTCCTGACCCCTGAGGACAATGCAGGGCTCCCAGTTGCACTTGCCATTGATCACAATGGTGACCTATTGGTGGGCACTGATAGTGGTGATCTCCATTTCACAAAATACATGGCTTATCAGTAACAGCAAGGACATAGTTCAAATAAATGACAATAAATCAGATAAAGTAAGATTAAAATGTCATGAACCAACTGCATTTCATTTATATATTTCCTCTACAATTGCCTTGTAATTTGTAATAAGCAGAGATGTAATGCATTCTGGTTATATCTATCAAAAGTAATAAATTTATGAATATAAAACTGGGAAAAAATTGTCTATACATACTTTTTTCTTATTTAAGTTTCACCTGTAGAGTATTTTAAAGAAGGTCATATACACACTGGGAATTTAAAATTATCATATATATATGTTGCATTCCGATTCTTTTTCTATGGCCTCATTTCAAACCTTTCAACCTAGAAAAGGTGATAGGGACAACTTTATTCCGATTTACTAGATACTGATGATATCCTTATCAATTCCTTAGGAAAATAGTATACTTCCTCAAAGAAAGATAAAATCCATAATTTTATTTTGAAACATTCGTGTGGTTTAATGTAGGTATTTTGCAATAATAAATATTTAAAAATCTCTTTTGCATAGCCTATATGAAAAAAATCATTCAAAATTGTAAATATGTAAATACATTTGACTGAAATAAATGTGTTGATTTGTCTCACAAAACAGTTCTAATTGTAACATAAGTAATTGTATGACATCACAAAACAAAAAAGCTGGTGTGTATCAGTATCACAGGGAAACACTTTGAATGGCAGTGACCCTAATTTTTTGATTTTTTGGAATGGACCACAGTATACCAAAGAGACCATGATGCAACCTGTCAATGGTAAGTAATTATAAAATGAATAACTCATTTGCATATTTAAACCTATATGTGATAATCAAATTGTCTGGACCCAATAAAGTACATTCTCACATCAAGTTTGAATACACAAAGTATTGAATTCTTTGGTAGGAATTGTACTAATATTATCACTACCTGTCACTTTCTCTACATTACTCAATATTTTATATATTCAACAAACATCCATACTTTACACTTATATCATATTTTTAAAATCCATCCATCCGTCTTAGTCAGTCCAATAACCAAGAAATCACAGAGATGTCAAGCCACTGGGGGAAATGTTTTATTTGCCAAAAATATATGTACAATTACACTAATGGTACAGTTCAGTTACAGGATGAGACCACTGTCAAAGATTAAAACATTAAAAAGATACATACCTCCAACTGCATCTATCTCATCAAAAAATATAATGCAAGCTTTCTTTGTACGTGCCATCTCAAATAGTTCTCTAACCATCCTAGCCCCCTAGAAAAACAAAAAACAAGAAATTGGATGTGCAATGCATTATCAATATCTGCTTAATGTCACACAAGAATCAAGATATCTTTAAAACAAAGGAATCAATATGCCAAATGCCATCACCTGGATGTAATTATAAAGCAAAGCAATTGCTACTGATGACAACAGGCAAATTCCGACCAATGGCTATAACAAAATTTCACTACTTCATGGTTGCAATCGCTTTATAAGTAAGCCACATCAAATGAACCATTTGGGAGTTAGTTAATGGTTATCAGTTAATTTGTAGAATAGTGTCCTGACAAGTAAGATCGTTTTGAAAACAATATAATATCCTTTTGTGACATTGGTAAATAGATATTAAAATATAAATATTAAAATTAAAATTAATTAAAAACAATTAATTAATTAATTAATTTATTAATTAAAATTAATATTATATTTTTAATATTAAAATAGATGGCAACATGAGCAACTAGTATATCAACTATTCCATTCTGCTAGTTTTAGACTCGAGGAAAAGCATTAGAAGTTATGTATATGGTAATGAAATCCTGCCTATTGTTAATCTCAATACAAAGGTAACTCTTAATCCACTAGGCCAACCCAACAAGCTATTCTTAAACTCTGTATAATGTTTCACATATATACATATATCACATATATACATAGCTGCTTCTTTCACATTGTTTAGCAACAATTTAATCACATGGGCCTATATTGATTTTTCCTTGAATATTGCGAGTGTATAGAATCAGAACCTTTGTATAGTATGCATTAGTTCATAAGCGTAAATGGAATCTAGATATCTTACTTTTGGTAAGTTTGGTAATAAGTGTTTGACATTTTTGTTATGTATGGTTTTAAGCTGCTCTAGTAATGTATAATAGCAGTATGTTTACTTCTTTTAAAGGAATTACATTTTCTGTTAAAACATAAAAATAGAACATAAAGTCAGTAAGACACATCTTAAATGTTACAAATGTATGTAACTATGAAGATCTGTGTAGATATTTTATAAAAGTTCACATTTAGTATGGTGAACACCATTTTTATAAAGGAGTACTCTTCATGTTTTTAAAATACTTCCAGGTCAAGTTATGAAGAGAATCATAGGAGAAAAGGCATTGATAATATCAAGTAAATCAAACGATTTACAATAAGAAGCATAAGGTTCAACATGGATGAGATATGAAATCATGAAGAAAAATACTGTTTAAATAGTATCACTTTGTAACCTCAGTATAATGAAGGTATAAAACAGCCACATTGGTACTGATATCAAAACTGTCCAATAGGATCAGCTCCAGACACAATGGCAAGTATAGCTGTCCTCAAAGACAGGATCAACGATGAGCACCTTACATGTATGATATGTCTCGGTCAGTTTCAGAGACCTAAAGCTCTCCCTTGTCTGCATTCATTCTGTCTAGATTGTATTAAAGGATTCATCACGAGCAAAATGGTCAAAAAAGGAGAACTCTTTGGATGTCCAGTATGTCGCAAAAAGATTAAGCTTCCTAATAAGGGCGTTGGAGGTTTCCCTAACAACCACCTGATTATGAGTTTAATGGGTACAATGGATGATGTCCCAGAAACGACAGATGATGAGGAAGATGTTCCATCTGCAGTTCATACACCCCAAACTCATCTAGCTGAAACTCCAGCTACAACATTGACAACAGCCATTTATACAGACACCTCGTCACAACCAATATCACACACAATTGTAAGACAATCTGAGACCCCAATGGGATCACAAACACCTATCCCTTCACCAGGTGTTAGTGGAAGTCTAAGTAATATGCAAACTGACCAGTTAGGAGAACTTGGTGTTGAGGTTCCAACAGAAAGACCCTCTCCTACACCAATAGAGTCAGACCCAGAGCCCCATGTACACATAGTTCTACCAGATGACACCAGAAATGATGCACAAAATCCTAATGCCCCAGAGCAACATGTTACATTGGATCCTCCACAACAACCAGCATTTAACCCTGCTTACAGAGACCCCAGCTATGACCCAGAATCTTTGAGAGATACACATAGTCCACCCCTTGCTTATGAGTCCATTAGCCCCAATGTACCCCCACTCCCAGGAACCCCTATGGATACAACAATTCCCGAGTATGCAAGACCTCCTCTCTCTCCAGATGATTCAATACAATATGCTCACCCTATGCAAATACCAAGTAACTATCCCCCAACAAATAATCACACTCCTATATTTCCAATTCAACCTACACAAATATCCATCCCACTACCTAGATCTTCTATACAGGCAAGACACATCATTCGTATGGACCACTACTTGTCTGTGTCACCATGGTTTGATAAGTGGCACATTCCTGATGACAGCCAAAATGACAGACAACCAACAACTCATGCGGTGATAATTCGGGAGCAATCAAGATTTGGACAGTTTGGTTATGGATTGTCGGACTTTACCCGACCAATAGGATTAGCAGTTACATCTGGTGGTCGTGTGATTGTTGGGGATCAATACCAGAGTCGTGTGCTGGTGTTTAATAGATCAGGCCTAGGACAAGGTGGGTTTCAGTGCAGAGGGGTCCTTGCTGGCCTGGCAGTAACACAGGAAGACAACATCTGTGTCACTGTCAATAGGACTGGTGGCTCACACCTAGCTGAGGTATATACCATAGAGGGACATCTGGTTACAAAGGTGGGCAGCACATTTGCTCATGAAACATCATTAGGAGTAGCCATAGACTTAAATGATCAGATTATCATAACAACAAAAGATGCAGTCCTATATAGGTTCACACCCACAGGCAAACTTGCCAAATCATGGAGCAAAAAGGGAAGGTTCACCCCCTCTTTGATGGACCCCTACTTTGCGACATCATCAAACAATGACATCATCATATCGGACTATGACAACCAGGCTGTAAAAATATATAACAAAGAGGGAGAATTTAAGTCCTTGATTGGACAGCTTGGCCGAGAGAAGGGAAATGTGTCAAATACAAGTGAACTGAAACAACCTTTAGGGGTGTGCACGGATTTACATGGAAACTTTATCATAGCAGACTCAGGCAACTTCAGAGTCTGTGCATATTCAAGTGATGGAAAATTTTTACGTGATATAATATCAGACACACGTTATGGCAATGGCAATTTGGTGAGACCATATAACGTAGCACTGGGACCTAACAGAGTGTTATATGTGTTACTGGTGGGTCCCAGCTTTGCAGAGATAAGGGCTTACCATTACGAGGGGAAAGGCTCAACCACATGTGCAGTTATGTAGTGATTGAAAAACTATTTTTGGGGGTATGGCATCTCTGATTACATTTGCAAAATTCGTTATACTGTACATTAGAAATATTTGTTGGCATTTTTGGCTTCCAGAACATCACAAAACTGTATTTTCCAATTTTTTGTACTTTTTGAATGTAATTTTAAAAATGGTCTACATACCTCAACTTCCAACTTTATAGAGTTTCAACTAACATAATTGCATGTATCCAGAGAATCTTGTTGACTTTTTTATGAATTGTTTAATGGATTCCAATTTTGTCAATTTCACAAATATTTATTACATATTGATATCTGAGGATTGTATATCATGATAGTAAAATGTTGTGGGATGTTGTGGGATGTACCTAACATGGTTTCCAAAATCCCCCTTACAGTATGTGCAAACCACCTGCTCATACCCTATTTATAATAATAATCATATCCTATTTACAATCTGTTTATTTTAAGTGTTAAAAATTTCAGGGAAAGAGAAAATTTCTTTTTAGACAAAACGTGAACAGATCTAGAACTGATAAATCAAACTGTGTGGTAACTGCCTGCCTGTGAATTATAAACATGGTATGGTCATTGGTCCAAGCCTACACATCTTCTATGTTAGCCTCATAACATTTTAATATCTCAAATAAAAACTCTGAAAAGCCATAAACTTACCTCTCCCACATATTTCTGTACGAGCTCAGATCCTATGACCCTAATGAAGCATGCATCTGTTCTGTTGGCCACTGCCCTGGCACACAAGGTCTTGCCTGTACCTGGGGGCCCAAATAGCAACACTCCCTTGGGTGGGTCAATACCTAGGTTCACATATCTTTCAGGCTGCAAATGTAAGACACATAGAACTTGATGAAGTAGATATGCTTTGATTTTTATCCATAAGTGGATATTGACCTGGGTTCTCCCCAGAATCTAATTGCATGGCGCTCCCCCCTGCTCACTCGTTTTCCCCGCCCTGTTCCCCCCCTGCTTGCTTCGCCCGCCCTGCTTAGCGCCCTGCTACTTCAAAACTTATGTACATTATTTTATTCTCCTGGATATTCGACGAAATCACATAAAATTCAAAGTTTTTCAAAAAGTTTTTCCTGATTTGCCATTCCGAAGGCCGAATCTTAAATGTCTTCTGATTGGCTCAAAACTCATGATTAGTTACGAAATATCCAATCAAATTATCTATTACTAATCGTGCGTCATTGACATAATCTGCCCCAGGTTCGGTTCAATCACTTGATTTGACTACGTATGCGCATGCGCCCAAAACATTCTAACCTATCAAAATCGTTCATTTGATGCATGCGTTCAGAAAATTAGAAATTAACAGTTGAACCTGGCGCAGATTACCCCTATACTGCAACGCGGAGTGATATGATCACCGATCATCAAAATCGCCAATTTGGAATAAAACAAACATCCCCCCTGCTATGAAAAAATCCTGGGGAGATCACTGTTGACATTCTCAACGTCCAAGCAAAAGAACATACTCAGATATTCTAGTTTGATAAATTATTTGACAACAAATTCAAAACTAAAGAAACAATAGCATCTGTCGGATATGATTGGACAGGATTATTTTGAGAAGGATATAATTTTGAAAATGCATACCAAAAAGACATCGTGCTTCCATATGTACACAAATAATAGTGTTATAGCCATTAAGTGTAAAACCAAGTCACATTTGGTTATATTCATATTATATTAACAATTAAAAAATGTATTTCAAGTTAACTCAAAAATTATACATTCAGTGAAAATAAAACATTGGTTAACAATATATTTTAAAACTGTATCAGCATCAGCATACATACTTTCACAATCAATCTGAGACTACTACAGTTAAACAAAGACACTTTTCACTAGTTGCTATTAGCTAGCTCTAAAGCAAATCTTGGCAAATTGTATGTGTCTCTTACATGTAGTAGAGGTGTCTCAACCACTTCTCGGAGTTTCTCTATCTGTTCCTTACATCCTCCCACATCACTGTAAGTTACATCTGGTTTCTCCTCAACCTGCATCATGGTCACTGTTGGGTCTATCTTGGGAGGCAGGGGGATGTGGATCTGGTACTTGTTACGGTCAACTCTGTATAATATGAAGATAATACAGAGATTAGTCCATGCATGTGGCAATTAAATGTACATATAAAACTGAGTATTGCGCTTGGGTTTGGGATTTCATTAAAATACAGGTCAGTATTCAACTTGGATGAAGATAAATCATTGCTTTATGGTTTTACAGTATCTAGGGATTCGGAGATGTAGGCCATATACAGTACATATGTAAAATTGAAATACATATCCATCGAATTAACTAAAGTATATGACTATTATAAGACACTAATCATTGGATAAACATCAGTATCAAACTTGCTTGGTGACACTTATTGAAGTTCCCTTCTCATTGTTAATATTTATCGATCAATCTGAATGTCAAAAATTGTCAAGGTAGACAGAAGTAACTCTTCTACCTAAGTTGAACAGAAAACTTGATTTGATTGACTGACAGAAAAGCACTCACCCAACCCTCATGCCCTCCTCTATGTCTGTAGGGGCCACCTGGTCACCAAGGTCTACTACAAACTTGGCAAACTGTTTCACATTGATCATGTATTTGGGGTCATCAGAGTCTGCATTGATAATTTTGGTACATCTGGCAACCTGCAGAGGTTGTTCACCTGAAGGGGAAATAAAAAAAATAAATTAGCAGTCCATTACATTTTGTTTATAGCTGTATAAATGTTTAGACTTCAAATCTGAATAATGTGAATATAACCAACATTTTCTAACCACTCAATTATATGGGTGGAATTACTTAAAAAAACTTGTGCTCTGCTTGACATTCTGATAAGGAATGTACTAAAAACCCTTCGACCTACGACCCTTCGACCCTACGACTTACTGGGTGTCAAGAAATTTTGGAATATATTTTATTGAAAAACCCTTCGACCTCTGATTTAGAGAAAATAGCAAGAACATAACTTCGACATATGAGTGTTACCTGATGAATGGGACCCTCATGTGCCTTCCAAATGGTAGTAAACGAACTCTAGTGTAACTACATCAGCTTATCTTTCCGTCCGATCAACAATAAGTACAGTTATACAAGAAATGTAAATGAAGTGCCGAAAGGCATGTCATTCCGGAAGTTATGATACGTTAGGGTGTCACTACGGTAAATCATTGAAAAATATTGAAAAAAATCACAAAATTCAAGTTCTGGTATGAGGTTCCATATCCATCCGCCAAAAGGTATAGTCCATTAAGATCTTGTGGTTTTGTACTAAATAACGCCATAGTTGACTTCAAGGGTACCTAGTATGCCACTATTTTGTATCAAAATATAGAGGAGGAGTTCAACTTTCATTTAAATTACGAAAATAGCGATGTAGGTCAAAATATAGTTCCGGCGTGAGCATGTTTACTACGCGTTGCCTGTCATCTCAGAATTGAGGAAATGGTAGCAAACGTGAGTTACAATAAATGGACGCTGATATCTCAAAAAGTAACCGGACTCCCTATAATTTGATGTAGATCAATCAAACCCCTATATGAACAGGTACATTTTGATATCTAACACTATGGGGGGTAAGCGTTTTATAGTTGATCACGAACGCCATATGTGTAAAGTATTGTTCTGAATTTTCGAATTTGGTGTTGGATTACGGTACTCACACCTTCTGGGGTACATACTGCATTTTCGAACGAATTAGCCCATACAATGACTATATTTCTGCAATCCCCTATACATAACCTTCATCTCGACACTATATTTAACATAGGGTTTGGGTCTCGATTTTTAAATATCACTACGCCAACATAGGGACTTATTTTTAGGTAAAATCTCTGCTTCACCGATGAAAATTAACGAATAAAGTAGTTCCTGTTTGCGGGACCATATTCTTGAGATTTTTTTCTAAAAATGACACATTTAAAAAGAACTTGGCCCCTGCTTTACATACATACCTCAAATGCCCACAGTACATACACTTAAACCTACTATACACACCATTGAAGTTGGCATAGCTTCGTTTTTAAAGTTTTAAAAAACACCCGGAAGTGGTATTTACCGTAATAACACCTTATATTACCGAACATGGGTGAATTGGAATGTTTGCTCGATGGCATTATTACACCAAAAGTAGTGCGAAAATGGCCTTTTCACGTGTTGGCATAAAGTTTTGATGACATTTAAAGACACAGTTCCTCCTTCCCGTACATTATCTCATGGAAATTGGCATACCAGCGCAAAGATCTTTGTTTTGTGGTGAAGAAAAGCTATCAAACATTGTCTGAAGAGCAGATTTATCTCCGTAATTCAACGTTTAGCATGGCGACCTTGACCTTGAAAAAATATAATAGCCATTTGGGCGATAATAGGTGATTCAAAAGTAAAATTAGTGCTTTTTCGTAGTTTTACTTTGACCAAGCCTAGAAAAAAATCGAAGTGGTAAACCTACCCCCAAATTTTTTGACAAGTGTTCTAGATGATATCAAAGTTTAAGAAAATTTGTATATCTAGAAATATTTTATAAATTAGTGCCATTATGGTGGGTTTGGGTGCTTTTTTGCTATCTTTTTTAGCCCATTTCTATGGTTGCCATGGCAACTATTAGGTTTTGGTAACCATGTCAACTTGATTTTTCAAGGACATCCGCCTGATAGTAGTTGGGCCAAGTTTGATGGAAAATGGGCCTTGTTTGATATCCTGGCAGTGAGGTTGATTGTGGCAAGTAGTAAAACGCCAAACAATGGTGGAGTCATACCTGATGCTTGGATGTTCGCATTTTATTTAGCTCTCGTAAAATGAACGAACAAACGTTCCATTTTCAAGCATGTTCGGTAATATAACGTATCATAACTTCCGGAAATGACATGCCTTTCGGAAATTTTTTGGGAATATTTTCACTTCGTTTACATTTCTTGTATAACTGTACTTATTGTTGATCGGACAGAAAGAAAGATAGAAAATAGAAGGTCGAAGGGTTTTTATAAAAATATGTTTCAAAAATTCTTGACACGCTGTAAGTCGTAGGTCGCAGGGTCGAAGGGTCGAAGGGTTTTTAGTACATTCCTTCTGATAACGTAATTAGAAAGTTAAAAGTCTTGCCAAGAGCATGCACATGAAATTAAACATGAAATACTTCATCATATTCCTTAGATAAATATTTTAAAACCTACATCACAATTTTTGCTTTAAACATGACAATGTACAGCTAAAGTATACACCCATATATTTTGTCACTGAACATTGTCAATGATTAGGCGTGATAATTGATTATTCCATCATACAATAGAATGAACCCCTGAACTTGTGAAGATTGGGAATGTGCCCTGTATAGATATTCTTTGACAAAATAGCATAACAAAAACACTGCAAAAACCTTCTTTAAGACAAAAATAATTTTCATTAAAACCCCTCCAATGAACTGATATTAGATATACAATAGTGGTTTGAAAGGTCAATTTTTCTTGAAATATGTTTTAACTGAGAAATATAAAGACAGAATTGATCAATTTCAGATAAAATATTTTTCTAGATTGTCTTAAAGAGTGACCAGATCAGCTTGACCTTGGAGTTTTAACATAGGACATCAATTTCACTTCCAAATATAGAGCTGTCAATCAAAATATTGAACTGTGTGGAAGAGTAAAAGTTATTTTTAGTTTGACTAATGTGGATGATGTTCATCTTGTATTGTTTTCAGAAACAGAGTTGAAGTTTTATAACAATGCTCAAAATTTAATTTGTAAGCATTAGAAAATGACTTTTTGATAAATAATGAATATACAGGTCAGAGTGACCTACTTGAAACATATCCTGACCTACTTGCAACAGACTATTGAAAATATTCTATTTGAGCACAATGAAATAAATCAACAATGATCATTTATATATTGCAGATATTCAAGAAAAAAACATTAAAATAAGTAAAAAATATACAAAAATAAATATAAGTGATTAATTGATAAAAAATACTAATTTCTTAAATGTTTTCTGTGGTCTTTAACATAAACAGAAATTTTAAATTCTAGCCTTGCAGACTTAAAATTCGACCTTATCCTGGAATTGTGAAGATTACTACTTTTAAGCAGTAAAATATAAATTTGTATAGGCCTACATAAGCAAATTATATAAATCCAATTGTTGGTAAGGCCCTCATAAGCCTATGATACTGTGTGCTAGCATGTTCTGTATGACACATTTTGGATACTATCCATGGAGATGTTTTTATATGAGAATGCTTACTCTGTAGAGTCTGTTTGTCAGCTGCCAGATCCCATAGTGCAGGAGGGGCCAATCCAGTATCAGACTCCTTGATTCCACTTAGTTCATTGACACGCTTCAATATACTCTGTATGTCCTCCTCGACTGACTTGATAGACTTGCTATATTGCCCAGCACCCTGGAATACAATGAGCATAACAGTAAAACCTGTGTATATTGAACATCTTTTGCAAAGAAAAATGTTCGGTGTTAATGTTCACTACAGCGGGGGTAATCTATACAGAAGTCAGTAGAGTACATATGTGCGGGGAAAGGGTGTTCATGTACTAGAGAGAGGTGTTCAGTAAGACAGGTTTACTGTTTATGATCGAAGTGTGATGCAGTAAAAGACTTTGTACTTTCAGAAGTTTTAGCGAAGATTTTTTTCAAATATGACATGCCAGAGAAGGACCAAAATATAAGATTAGAAATCACAACAAAACAGCCACAACTCAAGTAACCCAAAATATACAAATAATCGCAGAAAAAATATGAATATTTTTCCATGTTATAACTTGCACTGTGGTCCATTGATTGTTATTTTTCACGAACATCAACCACTGAACACCATCCACAAAAAAATTGGATACTTAACAATGTGTCACCACTTCAGTTTGTGTCTGTGACATAAAAATGATTGATGTACTTACATATGTCTTCAGTAGTGCGATGTCAGCCTCATCAAGTGCTGAAATAAGGGAAATAATACATTAATAAAAATTAAAAATGTAGGCACCTTATCTTCAAAATCAAAGTAACATATCTTTTATCAATATAAATATCTCATCATTAGAATACATGTATGTAAGTTGACATTAGAGTCGAGTCATTAAACATATTAATGTCACTGGAAACTGGAAAAGATGCATAGATTGATATATAGCTTGTGAAATCGAAGGTAGGCAGGTCTGATAAGACATTATAAGTCTTAGATATTTTTTTTAAAATGGCCATGTCGACCGACATGTCAACGATTTGTCTGGAAATGTACAGACAAAAAGTGTGAAACCATCGCCTACCTCAAACAATTTAATAACTATAGTACACAGTTAGATATTTTATTTCAGACATTATTAATCTTTGTGAAAAGATTACATGGTTTTCTACTCTAACTCAAAATATATGAGGCAGTGTATCTAACTTTTAAAAGGATATCTTGCCATCGAACTGAAGACAATATTACATTTTTGTAGCTGCACTACAGTTAACTATTTCTCTTGTTAATACGAGGTAAAGATATAAGAACTTCTAAATGATCGAGATTTAAAAAATAAGATTTCATCAACATTTATTTCCTGTTGTTGCATCTTGTGAACCCAACATCATCAAATTAGAATGATCTAATCTATATATTAAAATGCATGAATTTCAATTAACCATTACAATAAAATTCTGTCAACCTGTTTAAATAGTAATGACAACACTAAAATGTGATTAATGCGGATACAATACATGCTGACTAGTGCTGACAAATCATTTTTATATCCATGATGAATAGAAACAGGAGATTTATCTAACAATAAATCTATTTATGAATACACTCTGAATCATGTCATGCCAATAAGCAATTGCAATTACTTAAATAAATAAAGTAATTTTAATGTGTGTATTTCATATTTGATTTGAACATCAAGAAAGGTACATAGGCCCATTTGAGGTAAGCAGCATCAATTGCATGTTAGAAACTTAGTAAACTTAACAATTGATATTCAATATGATACACGAATTTAAAACTGATATTTAACATTTTCTCCACTATAATATATAATTATGTTATGGGTAAATCATATAAAATAATGTTTGATGGTGAAAATGAGACATATCATATAAGAATAGGATAATTCATTAATTTCTATAAAAGGAGTAACATAGAAATCATGCATTTGAATTAATTAGATAATGTGTGTACAATTAGATTTTCCGTTATGTGGCACGTACAACTCTTACTGGTACTTAGTTGTACCACATTCCTCCATCTGTCAGATGCCTGCAAATGTAGACAGCCCCACCCACAAGAGGCTTACTGCCAACGAGACTTCGGTAAAATAATTTTCTAATTCAACTAGTTAATTAAAGCTGCACTATACTTAATTTAGAAGAAAGAATAAAAAAGTAATCATTGAAACGTGTTACTCACACACTAGCTCAAATATGACACAAAGTTTGATTTGCTTTAATATTGAACCAAGAAAAAAGTAACTCACATTGAAAAAAGCATTTGTAGTTCTGAGATCATGAAACATGCATGCACATGTTAAACAAAGTGCATGTTTTAAATTACTGTTGATTTAAAAGATGGCGACACTTCCATAAAAATGAATGTATCGTGTAATACAAACAACTCTGACATCTTTCAATGACATTGATAAAAACTTTATATATGAAGCTTGACAAATCGAAAATATTTTTTGATAATTAATTGTAAGCTATGATGTGGTTCATTTGAGCTGTTGTTGGTGTCAAATGAAAGATAAAGTTCTTATCAACACATTGGCAGACTATGAAATTTAAATGTCAGTCTTTATTTTGCCCAAAAATTGTTGAAAATTCCCAAAGTGTGCCTTTAAGTACTACTAATCTTTATATTTACATTCATTGATTGAAGACATTTATTACTTGTTATTTAGATGAGTGAATGAATTACAAAACTTTGGTCTGCATAATATTATATTTTAGTCATCAAGGGCAATGTTAAAAGTCAAACTGTGATTGGAGATCAATTTGGTGAAAAACGTTTCAAAGTAAAAGTGTTACAAATATTCAAGGCAAGTTTAAAACTAAATTTTATTTACTAAAGAGGACATAGTTACATAGTAAAAAATTGAAGTTCGAAGGCTTTTTATTCACTATTAGAATAAGATTGCAAATCAGTATACAGAGTCTCAACCTTGAATAATCATTAAAGAAATATAATATACCCATTGAAATTCTATTGTGAACTTTGAATCTTTTTAACTGATGGCCTCCTTTTTACATTCAGGGACCTACCACTTGGCACACTGGGCAACAGATTTTCATCTATACAGCAGTCCATGGGGCAACATGTGGGGTTTCTCTTACAAAAAGAACAACATATTTACTTATAGGTAAGATGTGACCAAAACCATATTTTTGCAATATGAATGACATTACTAAACTCATATTATATGTACATACAATGAAACCTGGAAAGTGGAACGTCTCTAGAAGTGGAATACATCTGATAGTAGAACAATTTTCACAGACTCAAGACCAACTGACTTAATATTGAAAAATAAACCTCTATCAGTAAAACACCTCTCACGTGGAACACTTTTTAGAGTAACCAAATATATATCATGAGAAATAAAAAATTCATCCAATGGTACCAATCATCAACACCTCTATTTGATATGCAAAGCAAATAATAAATACATTAAATTCATATATTACTTGAAACCTTCTAGTGTTCTGGTATTATCCATGTATATTTTCAAACCATTTTTTAAATCATTCCATGACAGGCTCTCTGTCTAATCCTAAGAAACCTTGGATAACTACATGTGGCTTCAACAGAGAATGGTCTGACATCAAAAAAACTGTAATAGATGGGATAAGTGGGGATTATGAACCAAATTGTGCCTGCAAGGTAACATAATTCACTAATGTAATAACGTTTTGTCTTTTGCTGCATAAACCTGGGAAAAATATACTACTTCTTTATACTATACTTATTTTATAGCACATATATTTGATATACAGTGTACACTCATTTATAGCACACATATTTACTGATTGACTGTCAGTATCAGGATACGGTACATAAATAGGTATTACAATATTTTTCAAAATGATGAACAAGAAGCACCATTGGTTGAAAAAACTTTTGCATAAAGTTTTGGCTTTGAAATTTTGGCCATATCAAGATTACCGTATTCTCTGTAATTAGCGCCCAGGGCGTTTAGAAAATTGAAAATACATTATTTAGACCATTCTAATAAGCGCCCATGTATGAAAGAAATCAGAAATCCCGAGGAATTTCATGTATGGCAATTTTTCTTGACAAAAATGCATTTTCTTCAACATATTTTTATAATAATATGACAAGTGCTGTTATTGGAGAGAATATGGTAAAGATCGCTTAGACAATATTGACAGTGGTTGAAGACCCGTCTATGTCTAATTTATTTCCGGCACGCCCACTTTGTCATTATCGCCGATTACCTTCAATATTTCCACTAGAGACTGCTGGATATCGATCTAAAGTTATACATTATTTCTAATTTGATGAGAGATCATCATTATTCGTGCAAAAGTCGTGTAAAAGTCGAGAAACATTAAAAAGAAACCAGAAAGTTCACGACCTTGACATGCGCAGAACATCTGCGCAGTAGCTTTTGAAATTTCTGAATGCCGATAAAGAACAATTCCTTCATTCTTTATGGACTATTTGGAGACAATATTAGCATGGTATGATTTGGGAAGCACCCATCGATAGATATGTATCGAGAGGATGCATAGAATTACAAAACGCGTCGTGTTTACAGCAGTTTTAGGGTAAGTACTCTATTATCGCCCGCTCCTGGATTTCGAGAAATATTTTTTTCCTGATATATTCTTCAATTCTTGTTGATTCCTCGATGTTTCTTGAACTTTGTGAAGCGGGGTGGGCGCTTATTAGAGAGTGGGCGCTAATTACAGAGAATACGGTATACTGAAATTGTAGTGTGTATGTGTGTCTGCAGGGTTCTAATGGAAACAGGAAAACATATGTTTTTCTTATAAGATATCCCTGAATAAATAAAAGCTAAATAAAATAAATACATTATTAACACTCTAATTGCCTAAAAATGCATGAATGCAACAATCATACAAACACTTTCACACACAAGGCAAGTGGCATTTTCAGGTGTTATCGATCTTTGCTGTGGCTTGAATTTCAAAGCTAAAAGCTGCTATAGAAAAGTGGTTAAACTGACTGAAAGAATTGGAAAAGTTTGAAATTCTTATCCTTCATTTTGAATGATATGGCAATGGTTAGTCTATCTTGATAATGACCAGCAGTTAAAGTGATCTTTAATTCAATTAATATATGCAGATGAAAAAACATACTAAATGATTTAAAAAATAGGAGTTTGTATGTGTAAGCTTCAACATGACATATATATTTTCCTTCAATTAGATTTGCAGAGGAGAGCCATGTGGAGGGATGTGCCCTTTGTTTTGGAACTCTACAAACTGTTTCTACGAGCATGCCGTTTGTAGAGTTGCCTGTCCAGAGACTGATGCTTTGGGGAATCCTGCTTGTAGATGGGATACCCCTGAGCCTTGGTGGAAATGTGTGAAAGGACAAAATGTTTGTAGATATAATTGAGTGAAATAAAATGGGTGAAATCAATAAAACACAATGTTGTATTTTTGAATATCTCAAATTTAAAAATGGTATGTTGCACTGAACTAAAATTTCATACCAATTTGTAATAAAAGATAGAAAAGAAATTGTCAACTTTGTCTTCTCCTCCTCCAAGTTCATTTACACCCAAAGGAAACAATCTGTTCAACAATAAATGTATTTGGACTTGTCCTCTAATCAGAAATGTTGCAATCAGGCAACTGTTTAATAAGCAATATTTATGTGACACATATTTGGGCCCACATGACTTTCTACTAGACCCCATGTGACATGTTCTGGTATACTGAATTGCGATATCATTGATCCACATTGTTTTCCATTTGGTTTCACAACAAGGATCGTATAGTTGATATGATTTCATGATGACCAAGAATACCAGGATAGTGCGAGCGTTAGTTGGTGCATCTATCCCACGAGCAAAGTGCGATATGCCGAGTTTTTTACAAAAATTCTGTAATTATGTGTATCATTTATGTATTCTTTGATCATTATAGGAACAAAATACGAGCACTACAGATTTCACAAACAAAATGTTGTTATTGTTTTGATAGCGCACTGACGTCCGCGCGATGGCAAAATCTATACACAGTAGATCAGTTATGCTGAAATCGACCGCTGTAATGCTCGTATAATGTACTCTATAAACCACTAAATGGTATGTATAATGCGTGTAGATTTTTTAAGCGGTCAAAAGTAAGCGAATGGAGTGCTTTGGAAATGCAAAAATCAAGTTGTATATATGTTTGGTTAGCGCTTGAAGCTTGGCTTTTAGCCAAGCTGGATTATTCGTACTGTAAATTATGTTACTTTAGCAAGCGCCTGAAAAGTGTAAACTTTTGCTTCTTTTATTTATTATCAAGTGTTTTATATATGGGAAATGAAGTTATGAATGTAAAGTATGAGTGGAATGAAAGGTGGATGAATGTGATGTTGGTTTGGACAAATTATTTGTTAGAAATTGAATATTTTATATGCCTCGAATTATATGTGCAAGGACTATTGGATAATTGTATTTTATTTTACTCAAAGCTTATAGTGTGCTGCTACTAAAGGTCCACACACAAATTTAAGATTATGCACTCTTAATGTAAGAGGCATTAGGAGTCACTCGAAGAGAAGATCTATATTTTTATACGTAAAACGTTTTAAGAATGATGTTGTATTCCTTCAAGAAACGCATTCAAGTGTAGATGATAGTAAGAGATGGGAAAATGAATGGGGGTTAGGGAAGTGTATATTTTCTCATGGCAGACTTTGAAATGAACGGGGAGTAGCTATTTTATTGGGAAATAACCGTATATCCATCATAAAACAGTTGAGTGACACTGAAGGAAGATACATCATCATTCAAATACAAAGTGAGGGTAAAAACTACACGTTATGCAATATATATGCTCCAAATGATGAAAATGTTAGGAAAGAGTTTTTCGACCATGTATCAGCAATTATAACAACAGAATTTTCACACGAAAATCTGATTCTAGGGGGAGATTTTAATGTTACTATGGATAATAGATTAGACAGATATTCAAAAAATGTTGAACATATTCAAAATAATGATGCATCTCGTGGGGCGCTGCTGGATTTACTTAAATTTTATGACCTCGTTGATATATGGAGGCATCAGAACCCCACAAAAATTCAATATACCTATGAATCTTATGCAAAAGATGACATGCGAAATTCTCTTTCCAAAAGTAGGTTAGATATGTGGTTCATTAAAAGAAATATGGGTAACAGTAGCCTCTGTAAGATAGCTCCATCGGTTAAGTCTGATCACAAATGTGTATTACTAGACACTATGTCAAATGGAAATAATAAACGAGGCCCTGGCTTTTGGAAAATTAATAATAAACTGATTGAGAATGAAGAATATCAAAATATTATCAGGAAATTGGTGAAAGATGTTAAAACAGAATATAATGACCTTGATAATATCCAAATGTGGGAATTTCTAAAATACAAAGTTAAAGTTCGAACTATTGAGTTTTCTAAGCAAAAGGCCAGGGCACTTAGGGCGCAAGAGATAGAGCTAATTAAATTATTAGAGAATCTAGACAGTGAGCTGGTCAACGGAAATAATCTTAATGCAGACAACTGTAGGAAATACGATGAAGCAAAATCTAAGCTAAATGACATTTATCAGTATAAAGCTGAAGGGGCAATCCAACGCTCAAGGGCTGAATGGGTTGAAAAGGGGGAGAAAAGTACTCAGTATTTTTTCAATTTGGAAAAATCTAACCATAATAAAAAACACATTACAAGACTTATTGTTGATGGAGCCATTGTTACGGATGAGACTGAAATTCTTAATCAAATAAAAGCATTTTATGAAGAACTATATTCATCGAAATCATTAAAAGATTGTGAGAAATTTAGACGTTTTGATGAAGGAATACAAATAGATAAATTAGATAATAATGAACAATTATCATGTGAGGGAACCTTAACAACTGATGAATGTTTTAGAGCCTTAAAGAGATTTAAAAATGGAAAAACACCCGGAAGTGACGGTCTTAGCTCCGAATGGTACAAGCATTTTTGGGATGACATTAAAGAATCCGTAGTTAACTCATTCAATTTTGCATTTGAAAAGGGTATTCTTTCAATGAGCCAAAGGCAAGGTGTTATATCCCTTATACCGAAGGGAGAAAAAGATTCAGAATATTTAAAAAATTGGCGACCAATTACTTTGCTAAATATTGATTATAAAATTGCATCCAAATCAATAGCACAGAGAATAAATGCTGTTCTAGGTAAAATTATTGGATCGGATCAAACTGCTTTTATTGAAGGGAGGTTTATCGGAGAAAATATTCGCTATGTCGAAGATCTTTTGGAATACACCAAGAAGAGGGGTATACATGGAATCGTTTGTATGGTGGATTTTCTCAAAGCCTACGATAGTGTCGAGTTTGATTATATTGAGCATGTACTAAGGGTGTTTAATTTCGGAGATGACCTGATCCGATGGGTTAAGATGTTTAATAATGATATTAAAAGTTGCGTCCTTAACAACAACGTGTCGACTGGCTGGTTTAGTGTTAAACGCTCATGCAGGCAGGGGGACCCGATCAGTTGCTTGAATTTTTTACTTGTTATAGAGATGCTAGCCTTAAAAATTAGACAAAACAATGATATACAGGGAGTTGACATTGGCGAGGCAAGTCAAAAACTAGCGATTTTTGCAGATGATACCACGTTGACTCTTAAGGACGTAACGTCATTACAAAAAGCATTGGACATCTTTGAAGATTTCAGACTAATATCAGGTTTATGTATTAATAGAGAAAAAACAGAGTGTATGTATATTGGAAGTGATCGTCATAATAATGAAATAAACCTTTTTGGTCTGAAATGGGTAAAGATACCAAGTAGACTTTTAGGGATAAAAATATCATATGACACAAATGCAAATAACACGGATAATTTTGAGAGAAAGTTAAATATGCTTGAAAAGGTTCTTATATTGTGGTCAAAGCGAGATCTTACTTTTTATGGAAAGGTACTCATAATTAAGTCCCAGGCAGTGTCGAAGCTAATATACTCGATGACAATGACCAATACGCCTGATGATATCTTGACGAAGGCTCAACGACTAGTCTATTCTTTTTTATGGGGAGGAAAGGGTGAGAAAATTAAGCGAAATACTTTAATAGGGGATTTTGAGGATGGGGGTCTAAGAATGATTAATATGTTCACAATGGAGAAAGCCTTGAAATTAATGTGGTTAAGACGTTTACTTGACACACGAACTAGTCACTGGAAGCTTATTCCTCAAGTTTATTTCAAGTGTCTTGGAGGACTGAGTTTTTTGTTGCAGTGTAATTATGATATTAAAACACTGGCACACAGTGTTCCTACCTTTTATATGAATTTGCTTCGAAACTATTCAGAATTAAGAAATAGGTCGCCGCCTAGAACCAGTTCAGGGGTTAAAGGTGAAATAATTTGGAATAACAAATCAATTCTAATTAATGATAAGGAGGTGATGTACAAACATGTCATGGAAAAGGGGGTCATTTATATTAATGACCTTCTTAACGAGAATGGGGCTTTTTTACAGTACAATGAGTTTAAGACTAAGTATAATATTAATATCAACTTTCTTGAGTATTTTTCAATCATATCGGCTATACCAAATGATTGGAAATTTCTATTGAAATCAGATTTAAGTTCGACCTTTGAACCCAGCATACAGGAAGAACTCGTGTATTTGAAACTTGGTGAAAAACAGGTGACAATCTCTAGTATAACGGTTAAATCAATTCAAACAATATTAAATGGAAACAAGTTCTTGGAACCGTTATATAAAGACAAACATGATCGTGAATTAAAGAGAACCGATTATTTTAAAATGCCTTATATGTGTACGAAACAGAATAAAACGCGACAACTTCAGTTTAAAATACTTCATGGTATCTGCACTACAAATGCCTTTTTAGCGCAGATAGGCATTAAAAATGACTCTAAATGTAACTATTGTGCCTTTCGAGATACGTTAAAACACAAATTCTGGGAGTGCAAAAGAATTCAAATATTTCTGGAAGCAATCAAAGGGAATTTAAAGCGTTTATTTAAAGTTGATTTCGATTTTAACGCCCATGACATGGTTTTTGGAAGGCAAGCTAATAAGAAAAATATCTTACCAAATAGACTTACCCTTGCAATTAAGTACTATATTTTTATTAAAGAGTTCGACGAAGTGAATCCCAATTTGTATGAGGCGCAATTTGAAAAAAATATGTTTTATTATGTACCTGAACTTAAAAGTATGACTGTTGCAAATGTCTGAATGAATGGAGGTGGTGTGAAAAATATCTGAACTGTTCTAATTATTGTACTTGTACTGTTTGAATAGAGAAATAAAAAAAACAAACAAAAAAAAAAAAAAAGAAAAAAAAAAAAAAAAAAAAATGATGACCAAGAAGTAAATAAGACCTATTCATGATGACCAAGAAGTAAATAAGACCTATAATTTAAAAGTATGATGTCCATGATCCAATAGGGTCAATTCAGACAAATCCATCAATTCCAATGATTTAAGACTGCTAACAGTTATTTCTTAGGACTCTACTTTGAGATTACAATGCAGAAATCCACATTTTTTATAGCTGTAGGTTGAGAAAACTTATTTCATGTAAGCTTGAACCAAAATTAATAGTAGTAGTAGTAAAATAAAATATATTGTTAGACTGCGAATTTCCAATGGTTGGCTAAACTATATCCTCTAGTATGAAATAAGATTTTTGGAAATTTGGAATGAACATATTCAATTCAGACTGACCACTTGTAGGTCTGTGGGATATATACTTAGACTGTATCCTTCATCTGAATAAATTCAGAAAGCAAGTCACCTATTTTAAAATGTGGTGTAAATATTATATTCGGTCTGTTGGATACATACTAAATATATACTAGAGGTTGGCCGGCTTGGATTGAGATGTTGCCTGTTGGAGATTTTGATTTATTTCTAAATTTTAAAAACAAACATGGTATGAATTGAACATAATATTGACGGTCAAAATAACCTCATGACAAAGTACCAGGTCATTCAATAAGTTCATGCAAAAACATTCTCATTTTTTTATTTTTTAATGTTTTTCCTTGAAACTTTCACAAATCATTTGGATGTAGATGTAGAAACACGGGTTACCATAGCAACCATAATTTCTGACCAATCAAAACAAAGTTATTTATATTTTTTGTTTTTCAATGAGTATGTACTTTTTCTATGATTTGACAAAGTTCCAAGGAAAAACGTTGAAAAACAAAAAAATAAGAATGTTTTTGCATGAACTTATTGAACGACCTGGTACATTTGTAATTCCACACATCAAAGTTTGCTATGTCCATGTTCATAAACAAAGTTTGTCATGTGGAATACGGAACGGCATTCTGAAAGCTGGCACGTGTCATGTTGCATTCTGGTAGCGAATTCTCACTGCGACGTAATCGGGCTCGAAATTATTGATGTAGATGTAGAAATCACCTCAACATTTGAAGAGTCAGCATTAACATGTGAATATCCACTTCAAATTTGTAAGTTCTTATTTGTCATTATGGACAAAAAATTCCACTATATCTGGACTTACTAGGACAGAGAAAATAGAGCACTGAATACACTGAGGTAAGACTTTATTACATGTGCGACAGCATGTAATTTTCATAGCTTTTGTAATTCTTTATGTTCCCCACTGTAGGAGAAGACAGAATAATGTACTTGTTCACCCTCAACTCAATAAACACTGCTCATGACTATAACAAGTGAAGTGAAAGAACAGTTCGTCGGCACTTAATACTGTGATACTGATAGTAGATTATAACAACAAAATCAAGTCAAGTGACTCAGCACAGAAAAATATTTCTACTTGATCTTACCGACAAAAGAAAAGTAATGATATTTACCTTGTATCGGCTCGTCTTTTTTGTCTTCCTCTTTGACCTTTCTCTGGTCATCGCCTAAGTAGTCTGGCATTGTGAAATATGATGAAGATATAAGCCAAAACGTGATTTTTAAAAAAGAAATCTTTCAAGTTTTTCAAGTCTCGTTCCTTATCTCGCACAAGGAGATCTTAAAATCTACACATAATTCGATGACGTCATGAAAATAGTAGCTGCAAACAAGGAGGATTGGCTCCCAGAGTGCACCACCGATATTCTGTCCCATATATGGGTATGTCGTAATACAAAATTCGAATTCAAACAGCCGCCATTTTGTTCACTTCAACATTTAAATCGTGAATTTTGGTCTTATTTCCAAACGAAAAATTCCAAAACTCACAAGAAATGATCGAGATATTGGTTCGAATCTTTTGAACTGTTTATTTTGAATTTATAGTCGGTTTTAATTTCAGAAAATAACGACATTTCGACGTTTTCATTGTTGGAAAATATCGAGTTTCGATCCTGGGAGCCAATCCTCCTTGAGCTGCAAAATGATTATCTATGTGGAAAGCAAAGCCTTTCTAGTAAGATTACTACCGAAATTACTATATAAATCACTCTCAAACTATTGCTGAAGTTTCCATGAATATTTAAATTTCTATATGATGTTAGTTTAAGGCCAGTAAGAACCAGTTATGAGGTTGAAATAGGAGTTGGGAAGTCAACGAAATTCTGGAAATCTAAATTTTGACCTGTTTCCAAAGTAAACAAACATGATGTCTGTCATTGTCAAAATCTGTTTCTCCTTTATTCTAAATTATTTTTAAAATTTGTATATTTTCAGCATAAAACCTTTATTTGTGTTGTATATGCTCACCAGACAATAGCAAGGATTCGAGCGCAGATACTTCACATCCTCTATGAATTAGGACGAGAAGAACATCAATTCCGATTAAAATTCAGGAGTGAATTTTTGCGTGATGGCTTTACAGTTGAGGACTACAAGATCCCAGACAATGCTGTCATCAAGATGGTACCAATGTCTAAAAAGCAAAATGTAAATAAAACCAAATTATACTTTGGACATGCCACCTGAACATATCTTTGTATAGAGCTACCAGTTAGGATCATAAATTACACTGTTTATGGCCCTGTTTTACAATTAAGTCTTACTTTCTGGGGTTTTATACCTTGTTTTGCAAGAATTTCTTGGGAACTCTTAACTGTTTGTGTCTTCTGTATTTTTCACAATGTATTTTTACTTTTTTTTTGTCACCACCAAATATTGGTTATAGTCCAACTTTTTGTGGTTGGTGTAAGGACGTTGGTGTTTGGCATTCGGTGATTGATGTTTGGAATTCAGTGTTAGGTGGTTTGTGTCTGTAGCAAATGGTAGGTTGTGACATTTTGCATGTTGCCTTGTTTCAATTTATATGGGATGTATATGTTTTTAATAATTTTTTGTGACTAATAATTTTAAGGCTTGTGTAACCTCAGGCAAATGTCTGTTTAGCCCAGATGTAACTGACAAAAAATTCAATAACATATTATCATTTTTATAGAGTTATGCTGACATTAAATCTCTGAGTGAAACAAGTAGCAGTGCTGACTTGGGTCAAGGGTATAGTGCAGATGTCAAACAAGCTCTATTGAAAGAAGTAAAGAGGTTTGATCAAAGAGAGAGACTCCTGTTTGATTTCAAGGTAATAAGAATTACATATAGTTGATGGAATGTCATTATCAATGTAATATTATTTTTGATCATAGATAAAACACAGTTTGAGATTGATTGCACATAATACTTCTTTTAAATGTGCCATTGTGGTGTCTTAGATTGTGATATGTTGCATCTTTAGTATATATATTTCTGTTAAATAAATTGCAAAATATCAAAACATGTATGCAGGATGAATCAAGGAATTTTTTTTCTTATATGCTTCAATGTTCTGTTCCTACTCAACAGTGCTTTTAAATGCAACATTCATTTGGTTAAGTATATTATTAAGATCAGATTGTGGTCCGTAAAATCAAATCACCATAAATTCATGTTAGTACTTAAGTGTATTGTTATGGTTTCAGGGAATGCTGTACCTTCACTTCATGGCTTCTTGTTTCGCATTCCTCACCACTTACTGGTATTCAGGCTTCTGGACGATGCTTGTATTCCTCTTTGGTACCTACATGGTCCCTACCTTTACCAGAACTGGTGGCTTCATAGGCAGCCAGAGTATATAGTAAGTGTATATGATTGACTTTAAAGGGCCAGTAGGGATAAGCTTTAGAGTTTAGTTTTGAAATCTTTATGAGATTTATTTTGCTCTTGTTATTCCATGTCATGTCTATTTTCAAAAAGGTCAAACAGATCTGACTTTATTTCAGGACAATCCTTTGATATCCAGATTATCTGAAAAAAGATTTAAGAATCCTAATAACAAAGATATGAACAAGTGTGTTGAGACATTATTGGCATCTGTATATTTGCATCACTGGTGTAGAAACTGCCAGGCCAATAGGCAGCCTTTACTTGGGGGGGGGGGGGGTGTCTAGAATCCACCCCTTGCTACAGCCCTGACTGTGACATTATAATATCACATGTTAAAATCCTGTGTTACTTATTATAAAGCAAATTGCTTTTATTATTGCAGCAAAGTCTGGTTCTGTGTGATATATGGATTGGGGGCTCTGTTTAATGCTGCTGCTTCTGTCTACTTCTGTGTGGTCGAATGGATCAGGATTGTGGTAATTATTATTAGTTATATATACAGCTAGGCATACTGTGCTAATAATAGACAACCAAGTGGGAGACCCTCTACATATTTTTATTGAGTATGAGTCAATTTTCTATTTTTATGCTAGATAAATTTCACATTTACGAGGGTTGTTCAAAAAAAATTTAACATTTTTGCACTAATTCAAAGTGTTTTTGTCTATTCTTGCTGGAACTTAGTATGCATATCAGGCATTTGTTTTTCAGAATCATGGGTGCAAGGATTGGGAGTTTGTAGATGATTGCAGCCATCAGGTGGTGTTTTCAGCAATATTCTTTGGGATTCATGGACTGTCCCTTTTGATTGCATCTATAATTGTATGGGTGCTGTTCTGGAACTTCAAAATGGAAGTATGTACTGATATATAAATTCAACCGTAAACATAAATTATTTAACACTGTTTTTTAGTAAGACCTGGCCTATGTTGCATACGATGTACAGAATTTAAGAGTGTCATATCCTTTTAATATATTAATCTCAGATAACAAATAGGGTGATATTTGCATTGTTATGCGCTATCCAGTACTTGGTCATGATAATTATTGGAACATTTGATTATTGGAACATTAAATGATGTTATATTTTGCCTGTTTCAGTATGGTGACTTGATAGAGAAACATCTGGTACAGACTAGAGACATTGAGAAAGTGATGGCAGCTGCTAGAAGCAGCAAGTAAGTTTTTTGACAAGTACCAGTCTTTCTTAAATTTAAAGCAGTATAATTTAAGGTATTACATACCTAGCAAAGCATTTGTCGGTGTCATTGAATATATGCCTTCGGTCTGTCATAAATATAGTCCTTTCAAGCTTGGGCTATATTGATGACAGACCTCAGCCATATATTCAATGATAGGAACATAATGGCTAAATACCTAAATACTCATACAATTATATGTTATTGTGTATACAGAGGATATCCTTTGATTTTTGAAGGATATCATTTTCAGCTCACATGGTGAGCTATTGCAATCACCCACTTGTTATCCATGAGTATGTAAATATTCTTATTAGTGTTTCTATTTTGAAAGAGAGACTCACTTGATTCCATTTTGATTCTTCAGGGTAAAAGATCGTCGTATTGCTGCATATGAATTAGCAACACTAGCTTCATGTGGAGATGACAATAAGTTCCGTATAGTTGCGGATGGTGGACTTGAAATCCTGATCAGTATGGCTCTGTCTAGTGACACTGCCACCCAGGAACATTCTGTGGAGGCCCTTTCTGAAATGTTGACTGTCCCAGCTATACAAGTAAGTCTATGACAACGTGAATATTAAATGGACATTATTGTACCAATATCTGTTTGAGGTTGTTTTGGATTTCCTCCTAATAAGCTCTCTACATTATATAACTGTTAAGAGGAATTTAAAAATAATGGCCACATGTGTTTATTACAAGTCAGAGACAACATTAAGGATAAACACTTTCATTTAAACCCCTGGGGTGTCATTAAAAAATCTAGTATCCTTGGTGCCTGCTCCTACATGGGTTTATCTTGGGACTCTATCAACTCACTCAAATTGAAATTCAACATGAAGTCAATAACATAAGTTTTATCTTTTAATCTCTATCAACGCACTCAAAAAATCACTAAAAATTTGAACTTCACATAAATTCAATATAAAGTAGGTGACTCTATTGCGCTATCATATACTATCCTCTAGGACACATTTGTTGAGATGGGAGGTGTGAAGACTCTGACTGCCCTGCTTCACTCTACTGAAAGGAGACTGATCTATGAGGCTGCAACTGCTCTGTCTTACATTGTAGCAGACTCAGAAGAGAATAAACAAGCAATTGTGGCAGATCACGGGTAAGAATAATGCTGCAATTCAAAGAAATGTTGATGAGTTAAGAGCTAACAGGGTAAAATCAAGATTTTTATCTTAGGATATTGTGATATATGATAGCTGAAGGATTCTCTGAAAATTAAATTCAGTTTTTTTAACTATCCATGTTAAGGTAGTGAATTATACAATAATGAATGCAAGTGTTATATGAGGAAAACATTATATCTTTAACATAATTCATCTTAAAGAAAGGAAGGCTAATGTAAATGTAGGCATCATTGAAATGACATATTTATCCTGGATCCATTGTCATTAAAAGATTTCTTCTGATTCCTCTTTCTGACATTCCAAATAGAAATAAACAAAGGCAGTTAAAGTAAACCTTGTATTCCAGGCTCCAGGATCTTTGCCACGCAGCTCGCCACAGCGACACTGATACGCAGAGAATAGTCGCAGGAATCTTCCTTGATCTTGCATTCAATCCTGAGATCCGTGCCCAGATGACCTCGATGAACTCTCCAGCGAAGGCTATGATAGAGATGTGTAGAGATAGTGAGGATACTGACACACTGAGGTTTGCCTTACAGACATTGGAGCTTCTGGCCATTGAGAGCCCAGATATGATATGTGCACAGGTAAAGCAGCAAAAAGTGGTGGCATGTTGCTATAGTAAAGTAAGCCTAATGCAATTGTTGTTGGGAACAATCTGGATGTTGATAGGATAGTCAAAATATGGGACTGAAAAAAGTGTGACACCATTGGTGAAAAATGTAACTTCACAAATCATCACAGATTGTCAATTGCTCTTTTTAGTTTTGTGCTTTAATTTTGAAAGTATTTCAGTTTATCTAAGGCAAAATTCAAAATAATACTCTTTGTTCTCCCTGTAGGAGGATCTGGTAGGTGTCTTACTGAACTTCCCATCACGTTCAACAGATGACAAACTCTACCTACTGGCTGGGAAGATTCTACTTTACTATGCTGAGAACCAACAGGTATGGATACTTTCACATAGGAAAGTAAATTACCGTATTCTCTGTAATTACCGCCCACTCTCTAATAAGCGCCCACCCCGCTTCACAAAGTTCAAGAAACATCGAGGAATCATAATAATCCATAATGAATGAAGGAATTGTTCTTTATCGGCATTCAGAAATTTCAAAAGCTACTGCGCAGATGTTCTGCGCATGTCAAGGTCGTGAACTTTCTGGTTTCTTTTTAATGTTTCTTGACTTTTACACGACTTTTGCACGAATAATGATGATCTCTCATCAAATTAGAAATAATGTATAACTTTAGATCGATATCCAGCAGTCTCTAGTGGAAATATTGAAGGTAATCGGCGATAATGACAAAGTGGGCGTGCCGGAAATAAATTAGACATAGACGGGTCTTCAACCACTGTCAATATTGTCTAAGCGATCTTTACCGTATTCTCTCCAATAACAGCACTTGTCATATTATTATAAAAATATGTTGAAGAAAATGCATTCTTGTCAAGAAAAATTGCCATACATGAAATTCCTCGGGATTTCTGATTTCTTTCATACATGGGCGCTTATTAGAATGGTCTAAATAATGTATTTTCAATTTTCTAAACGCCCTGGGCGCTAATTACAGAGAATACGGTACATAAAATTCATCATTAATTACGGAAAGTGTAACATGAAGCCTCAGTCACATTTGCTACACAGCCACGGCAGCCGTAGCTTCCCAAAATCAATATAGAAAATCTACACTGTACTGCTTATTCCTATATTTTATGCAGCTGCATATTTCTCTTGAATTTGGGAAGCCATGGCTGTTGTATGGTTGCCGTAGATCAAGTATGACTGAAGCATTAGATAGCGAGCATATCAAAAAAAACTGCTTCAATTTTAGAACCTTTGACACATTCACATCCAAATAATTAAAAGCTCTTTCCAAGGAAATTATAGATTCGATACTATTGTGTTTGACACATTTTGTCAGCCTAATTTACTCCTTTATTTGAAAAAAGAAAATTAAAATTTCAAAGTTGATAAACATTTCTAGGTGTAATTTTATATGTACAGTAGATCTCAAATATGATATCACTTTGACTAAACTTTTAATATTAATGACTTAAATCAGGATTATTTCTTTATTTCATATTTTATTCATATCGGTGAAATATTACAGACATGCGAGCAGTTACTACAGCAACCTAACCTGAAAGTATCATTAGATCTCTATGCTCGGACAAGGAGTGCCGTTCTCCAGAAAGTTGTCGCCAAACTTATATTCTGCTTCATGGAAAACAAGGAGTTCAGGTGAGAAACTACTTATTTTTGAATAAGACTTTAAGGACACTAGATTCTTCAAAGAGTTTTAATGCATTTGTAAGTTGAACACATCTTGCTAGCAGCAGCAGTGGATGAATGTTAATTCATGTCATTTTACAATGTTTTACATTTGCAGAAGTCAAGCCAGACAACTGGAGTTGGATGGTATATTAAAGTACATTAAAGACAATGCAGCTGACAGGGAGGCCTGGGATATGGCAGATGAAGGTAAGCTTAACTAAGCACAATAGAAATTTTTCTTCTGTGAATAATAATATATTGATGTGATAAAAACTCATTTTGTAATACATGCATTGTATAATGATGTGCTGTTAATATGTGTCAAAAAAGTTCTTCTGCATTATTTTGAAGACAGATTTAAGACAACCTTAACTTGACTTAAGATTTGCCTTGGGTGTTGCACTTTTCTACAGTTCTGTTACTCTACTTAATTTGGCGGCTGTTTGAATTTGGCGATTTGCAAAAACTCACCAATTCATGTCTGCGCCAATCTTTCAGAAAAAAATCCCCAGGAAGGTTTTCATCCAGTGCATCTGTGCATGCGCATTCAGTAATTTTGCTGTACTGTAAAATTAATGAGTCTTCATCTGTGCCAAAGTCAAAACATGATCCTTGACTTTACATTGTCTTAGCAACATGCTCACTCTTGTCAAATTCGCTAATTTCACAGGTATTATTCTTGATAAATTTGCCAAATTAAATCTTCACCAATTTTTGCCAAATTAAGAAGAGCAAATACTATGTATTTGTATCCAATAATACCAATGACTGATATCTCATTACAGCCATAATGAAAGAGATTATTCTTCTGCTTTAATTATAATGTATGAATTTTGTGTAGCTTCATTATACATTTATGGTCGAAGGAGGTACAAAAAGTAAGAATCACATAGGTGTGCTTAAAAATTTGAAATCCTGCTTAATCAGGATTTGGATGAAATAAATGCAGCTAGGCTATGTTGTTACATCAAGATAAATTGATGAAAATGTGTTTTACAGCAGTAGATAAAAAAGTAGATACACAATACATGTAGGTAATACATGGCGTATGCACTATGGAATGATACATAAGCAGCAATAGAAATCAACATTCATTTGTATAACTGTAACTTGTCAAAAAGTCACTTCCGTTACAATGCTCGTTCAAGCTTATCACTAAAGACTGAATGAAATACCATTCATGCAGTGTATGCCCTAAGGAGCTGGGAGCTGCTTGTCAAAATGGCATTACAGACCAGTTGCAATGTTATTTTACTATAGTGAAAAATGAACTGGTCTGTATCAAAAGTAACCTTGTAGTGACCAGTGGACATAAGGGGCATATAGAGCATACACTGCATGCATAAATTTCATCACACTGTTATGCTCTATATAGATGTTATTTACATGGTTCAATCTTGTAGCTTTTATCTACGATTCTGAATGAAGTCTCTAAACAGGCTTTACCTGACTTCAATATTGGGTTATAGCGCTTCATTCATCTTTGAATTAGGAATGAGTATGAGACATGAAAATTCCTGATTTAAGTGGCAGTAATCAGGTAAAGAATCATAAGAGTAAAATGTTGGAATCAGCATTTTCATTAGTTATGCCAATGTATTGCTTGATCAAAAAAAGAAAGTAAATGAATTGAATGTTGATCAAAAATATTCAAATTCTTGCAGTTTTTCAGAATTGTGGTCAAATAGCCTCGCAAATCAAAACATTTTCATGAAACAAAGTCAAAGATTTACTTTTTGTAAGAAAAAATTATGATAAGGAATGCATTGCGCAATGATTATTGTAAAACTGATTATATTTCAAAAAGCTTCAATCAGTTAATAATATACATCTCCATCATTTGTCACCTATTTTATTCCCTTTTCAATAAAAACATTTAGAAATACATCCTTCATATGGTCATTTGTCACATAGGTTGCAATTCCTTCAAATTCTGTTTTACAAAGAAGTTTGACAACTTAGATAAAATTGAGTATCACAGGGTTTCTTATAGAATTTCAACAAATTCCAGCCTTATGTTTAATCATCGATCAATCATGGTTAGCATTAGATCAACCTATAGTGGAGCACTTGTCAGACAGTGATCTCACCAGCGTTAACGCAAGTGGGCACAGCACCCACCTGAGATTTATAAAAAATGCTTGTACCCACCTGAAAATCCTTTTGCACCCACTTGAAAATGAGAAAAATCATGAAAATGGACATATTTTGACCAATTTTGGACTGATTTGTGAAAATGAGAAATGTCCACCCACTTGAGAAAAAATCATGTGGAGAGCACAGTTTGAGTTACCAAAGGTGTTCCACTTGTACAGGTTTTACTGTATATAACATACTTTGTCATCTTCTTACAGGCATCAGGATAATGAATGAAGAACCATCTGGAGTACCCAATCTGGCAACCATGTCCACCTTGGAAAAATTGGCCCAACTAGAGGATGACAAACCCTCTTATCTGAGGGATAGATTTGGCTCTCGAGGATCTCTAAGCTCCAAGTCATCACTCCGATCAATAGATAAAATCTCTTCAAAAGGATCGGGAGATGTCAGGAAAGGAATAGACTGAATCATTAAATCAAAAATTCTGATACCAAAGACTTTAGAATAGCTTACAGTGGACTCCTACAATGCATGGACTCAGACTGGCTCCTCAGCTACAATATCAGCTGATGATCTGTACATACCTTTCGCTTTCTGAAGGTGTGAATTCCCCCAGATATGGATAAATTGAATCCAAAGATTATAAAATTTGACAAATGTAGTGTTTACTAAATAATTTAGACAAGATACCCATGTATTTTGACCATTCCAGATTTTTGATTTTTCAAAAGAAGAATGCATGTTGTATGATTTTATTGACCATGTTACATGTTTATCCTCCGTCCACAATTTATTCAAAAATTACAAAATATATTTTAGATGTTATTTTTCTCGATGAGGATTTCATAATCATGTACATGTATGTTTGTATTACCATTTTAAAGAGTCGTGCATGATTTCTGAAACCTCGTTATTCAACTCACCTAAGTAATAGTTCTTCGAAGCCATAAAATTATATAATTAACACATACGGTACTTTGTACAAAATCTCTAAATAAGACCCCATAGAATCCCCTGTAAAACCTTCGGTAGGAAACCCTATTAGACTTTATATGGTTTCACTCCCAGAACATCCTTATCTCAATTAAATTTTTAATATTTAGGTTGAATCAAATAAAACGGTTTCAGGGATCTTTTTAGCCTCTTTAAACATAGATGATTACAAGCTGGACTTGTTCACATTTATGCATGTTAATAAGATATGAATGTACAAATATATTTTGTAGTGACTAGCCCTATAATTTGTAAGATCACAAAATTCTTAGATGTGTGTACCAATTTTATATTGCTAATTAGGTAAGTCATTAGTATAGGCTAAATTTTGTAACTGTGTTTAGTGATATGTACATCATTGATATTTGTTTGTCAAATTTATTTTTATTCATGCATATTATTGCTTCCGTCCAAAAAAAGTATTCCATCGTTGTACTTTTGTACATTTTACAGAATCCTTCCTTGCCAGATGTAATATGTAGAGTTGTAGGCTAGACCTAACATAATATTTATATATATAACAAGTGTAATAATTTATCTATCCAGATCACTAACATGTATGCAATGTATACATATTGTAGAATAGACTAGTACCTGCCAGGAGCAGGTCTTTATATCTATGCTTCATAGGAAAATAAAATATATTGTAACAAAATATGTTTTTTTGTGTTTATAACATCTGATTTTATTTGATAAGTGTTCCCTTTTTATTTGGCATACATTTAAAAAACAACAGAAAACAGTTCAAGTTCTGCAAACAGACGCCAGTCCTTTCACTTAACTCGTAGCAGTATGGACTATTTCACTAGATTTTACAACTGTGGTCTGATATTTTTCAAAATCATTGATAAATATACTTTTCAGCTTACACCAAGCAAATGCCTTTTTGTGAATAAATTTTTTCCATGTTACATATCCAATGAGGTCATATGAAAAAGCACTGCACATGCAACACATGTTTGAAATATCAATATTATACAAATATTAAATTCTTTTGAAGTGAATACCAGTGTATCTTTCACAAGTGATATTCTGGAAGAGCTCGTGGAATATCATCTAATTTGATGTTTAACCTCTTGACTACCTGGAGTGACGAGATTTCTCGTGACCTCAGAAATGACCTTGAAACCCAGAGTGACAAGAAAATCTCTCACAAACTTTTTCACTAAAATTGCTCTTACTTGAACAATTTTCATCCCATTTACACCAAAAATGTTTTAAAATCTATTTGTACTGAGTTGAGCATCTAAAGTTTCATAGGTATGTAGTAAAATGTCAAAATGTGGCAAAAATGAAAAAACTGGATTCAACTGATTTTAGCCTGGGATTCAAGAGGTTAATTAATAATACCATTGTACTCCTGGGGATATTTAAGATAAAAATACACTTGACTAAGTCATGGTTGGTGAATATCATATTCCATTGAATATATACAGAATATCACATTATTTTGAGTGATATCATTTTTATCGCCGAGTTGATATCAAATATCAACACGAGTGAGCGAAGAAAAGGCGATAAAATGATATCACGAGAAATTATGTGATTTTGGGTTTATCCCATGATTACAATCACATTTTAATAATAAAATATAACAAGAGAATAAATTATCTGACCTAATTTCCAACAATATTGTGGCGCGAAATGCAAATGTGATATCACACGGATATGCGTGAGATAAACGATATCACACGCATATGAGTTTGATAAACGATTTTCTGGAAAATATCACACGGATTTCAATAATATCAGAAATATCAATGGCTGTTATTGTACAGATAACACATTAATCGTGGGATAAAGCTTGTTATTTTTAGTCACATGTAGCACATGGACCAATCAGAGAGAGGAATATGACAGTGACATAATAAAATATTATATTTATATTCTACTATGGATTATAAATATGCATTTTCTAATGAAATCAAATTACGTGGGAAGGGCACTCAACCTCATTAAATCAATGTAACAGGTAGAACTGCAGTGGAGCTTCATTTTTTTTTCAAAATTAATGTTTAATTTTAAATTAAGCCTCTTGAATTTCAATGAATCAAGAGACTAATGTACAGGGTGAAGCAAAAATGTCCATATTATATTTGATGATTACTGTTGAATCTCAAGTGAAAATATTATTGAAATTCATGTAATAAAAAAAAGTTAAAGCAAAATCAAAAATATAGAACTATGATGCACATGACTACATGTACTTCAATGTAAGACATGTGTCATGTGATAGATAACTCAACAATTAATCTAAAATAAAATGAGCTAACTAGAGTGATATAATGGCCATTATGAAATATTTATATCCGTTATACTATACATAAACAAGGCCAGAACATTCCATCTTTACTAATATTTGTAAGTAGTAATATTCAACAATATATACCAAAGTAAAGCTACTTTCCAAAATGATATATACAGTACAATGAATAACTAGAAAAACAGAAATCCAAGGAATAACAGATCAGATTGAACAAAAATACATTACTATTTCATCATATCATTAATCATTTTGAAAATTCACTAATCATTTTGAAAATTCACTAATCATTTAAATTTGCTTATTAAGCAGCTTCCACGTATAGTAAAATGAAACAGTTGCCACATGACTGATTCGATGACATCATCAAATAAATCCATTATTAAATAAAAATGATTCCTTTAGGTCTAAATTATTATTTCAGTTGTCTTTTAAGGCTATTTGTTGAGCCTTGAGCTATTGCAATTGATGTCATTGTCTCAACCATGGCTGTGTTTGACACAGCCTTCCCCACACACTAGTACTATTTAGTATCAAATATACAATGCTGTACATACAAAATAAATTAATTCATATAAAATGGTCCACATAAAAATTAATATGGACTAAGGCTCAACTTTATAACCTTTAATCCATGGTAATCCAGTTCCAACTTTCTGTTTGTAGTCCAAATAGTCTTCACCAAAAAAGTTTAAAAGTGAGATCTCCTCGTCATAGATTCTAGCTTTGAAGAACATCCATGATGCTCCTGTGTACGCCACTATGCAGAGTGGATTGCACAGAGTCAACTGAAAACAAACAGCAGAGATGAATTATAAAATTGGAAAAACATACACTGTCATATAGGCTCATGTATCAAATTGACAATTTATATGAATTAAGCGAGTACCCAAATTGCAGGTAAATATTTCACACCCTTTTAGCTCATATCAACATTTACAATATCATGCTTTTTGAAAATTCAAAATTCATATCGTATACTAGACAATCTTAGATTCATTCATTTTTATCTTGTATTTTTGTTCATTTTACCTCACCATTTGGAAAAAAGAATGGATATTTTAAAAATACGTATGAATTTTAAGTAATTTGAAATGGATATATTCCTCCTCAATGGACACCCATATTTGAATTGTTTTGCATTATATGTACCATACCTGTGTTCCTATACTCCAGTAAAACCAGCCAACATATGAGGGATGACGAGTGTATTGGTAAACACCATGAGTGACTAGTGTATGACCCTCCTCTTTCACATGCTGCACATAATGATTAAAATTTGCCCTGGCTGTTACCATGGCAATCTTACGTAGTGATTCACCAAATATCATCAATAAAAGTCCAATGAAACTGATAAACCGAAACTGCTTCAGACCTGGAATTTTAAGAGAACATATACAGAAAGGGAAACAGACTAGGGTGGTGTAATGTAATTCTAGTCTGATACAGTACAGTAAAACCTATAAAGTGGAATACCTCTCTAAGGGGAGCACCTCCATAAATGGAACACTTTTCAAAGTCCCGCAACCTTCTTTTTAGAGGTACCAAAGATGGTCCAATTTCACAGGTTTTACTGTATTTAGTCAAGGAGGATTGGCTCCCAGAGTGCACCACCGATATTCTGTCCCATATATGGGTATGTCGTAATACAAAATTCGAATTCAAACAGCCGCCATTTTGTTCACTTCAACATTTAAATCGTGAATTTTGGTCTTATTTCCAAACGAAAAATTCCAAAACTCACAAGAAATGATCGAGATATTGGTTCGAATCTTTTGAACTGTTTATTTTGAATTTATAGTCGGTTTTAATTTCAGAAAATAACGACATTTCGACGTTTTCATTGTTGGAAAATATCGAGTTTCGATCCTGGGAGCCAATCCTCCTTGGTATTTAGTTTTTGAAAAATTGCACCATTGACCTGTTGACAGAGGACTCTCGTGGTTAATAGTTATGTAAATTAAAATATGTTCAGTAAAAGAAAATATTATCTGTCCAATACAAGGAAAGATATTTCACTTTTTGGTTGATAAACAATTTTCTAATCCATATTTCTAGATGTACTTTTAGTAGTAGATTTGACATGACTTTGACTGAATTTTGAATATTTAATGACCTAAATCAAGATTATTTCTCCTCGCATCTAGTCTATTGTCTTTACCTGGAAAGAAATACCACTCAATGGCGAACTCAATCCAACTGGAAACAGCAGCAATCTTGTATTCTCTACTATGGTTGAGCAAATATGACTCCAATGTGAGGCTGTGAGGGTTACATACAGCAGTTGTGAAGTATTCCGACCAATGGAAGAACGCAAGAAATGTGAGGTACCAGCCAAAGTGTGTCACAGTGTTATCCGAGAAACTCAGTATTAATCCTGCTCCAAAGGCGACACCGATCCCACCGCCTCTTACCACTACCTGAAAGTGTAGATGGAAAATTTATGGTAAGTAACCGACGACCCCCGCCATTTACCTATAATAACCGTGGCAATAACTTATAGGACTCAAAGGGGGGGGGGGGTATTTTATGACTATCCGACAAAAGATGTGAGAACTAGATCTACATAGGTTGTCACAGTTCCAAATGGAATTTTCATAACACTAATTAGTGACGAGGCTACAGCAGATGTCTAATATTCATTCAATCAATTGATTTAAAATTTTACCTGAAATGCTTGTCCTCCTTTGTAAAGACCCAACAATATGAGATTGACAGCAGCAACATATCCAATCAATATATATATGTACCAATCAGTTATGATACTATATAACGTCCTGTGTGTATATGCAAGAAGAGGGACCACAACTATACTTGCCCCAAGAAGAAAACTGAAGAGACTTCTTTTGGCATTCGCGATCATTTTGAAATCTGGCAGTGCACGCCACATATAGATTTTCCGAGGGTTTATATCACGGGCATAGACAAGAATAAAAGTCTTATTTTTGTTAGGATATATGGCCAAAATGTATTACAAGTAATGATGTACGCCAGACACAAGGATTCACTTTTAAAATGTTGATAATACAGATGAAATATAGTGAATGTTAAAACTTTGATGGGGTGGTCATTATTTTAATGCACTTCCGGTTAGTCTAGCATGAAAGTTTTTGAGAAATTACTTCTATCTCTTATTTAACTATTTTCAGTTAGATTTAGATGATTCCGCTCCTGTGTGAGTAATTTATTTAATCATAATAGTTCATTCCATCAAGAAATCATGCGGTTTGATTAGTTGTAATTATATTGAATAAATTCAGTGACATTGGATTTTTTTCTGTGGTTTTATTTCAAATATTTGCATTTGGATGGGATCGCCCCTGGGATAGCATACCGTTACGTCATGAATCATAATCGTTCTTTTGAAAGTTCATGGTGATATATTCATCAGGTTCCAGGATGTATAGACTTTCTTGCCCAGTTATCTACTTCTGACGTCGTAGAGCTACGTTTTCATTATTTCAACATTTCAAATTCGGGGAGTTGATAACTGGGCAGACTGGTTTGGTTACTATCCTATAGTGTTTGGGAAAACTTCCACTATCCGTGTTTTTGTGCTACAGAATCTTGATCCGATATTAGTAATGGATATCTAATTCAAATATGTACAGTTGGGGACAAAAATAAATGACAGGTCGATTTTCGATTACCATTTCCTAATTATGGTGGTCTGAAAGCCCATAATTTCCAATATTGTCTAGATATATATCCCTTAAAATTTGTATATTTTACCATGGGCTTTCAACTAGAAGGGTAGGCAACTTCCCATATTTCATACATAAACATTGCCATGGGTTTTCAAAATTGGAGAATGTACACATTCCAAGAAAATCTTATTTTGTACTTTTTATTGATGATTAAAAGAAATAACTCAAAAATAAAAACATGATCTTCTACATACATCTTGATATTTTAATAAAAATTGGAATTCATCATAATTATGACAATACAGAAAGTGAACATTCTCCCACAAATTATGTTTTTATTGGAATGTGTTCTTGAATAATTACCCACAATGCAATACTCAAAGAGAACATCTTGATAACTCTTTTTCTTATTGGTCTCTTTTGTTTACTTTTATATGATATTGAATATATTTTATACTTAAATCATATTAAAAATTGATTTTTATTCAAAATAATACTAAAACATATACATTTATCTAATACTTTTTGAAAAATTGCCATAAAAGGGAAGCATGTCATTGCTCATTTTGAAGGTCTCATGTTATTACATAGAGTTGCATACCCTTCTAGTTGAAAGCCCATGATTTTACATTTTGTATAATCTCATCCACTGATGTATGGCCTCTTGTAAATTCTCTTATTTTTAACATGGGAAATCCTCACTTCAGCAAATCCACCTGTCATTTATTTATGTCCCCAACTGTATGTAGAGTCCATTTCACTGCTTCATTTCGTCAGTAGAACGGCAAAAATAAGAAATTGGGAGACATTTGTGCAATAATATATGGAAAAGTATATTCATAATGTACATGAATGACATTTGTATATTTCAGATTTTTTAGTTTTTTGTGCAATAAGCCTGTGCCGTCTTGTAATTTGAAGAATTTCAGCCATGTTAATCTTATTGAAAATAACATGGCAGAGAAACATCCAAATATAAGAGGCCACACACTTTATAAGCCAAACTAGAAGCAATCCAAGATATACAAATGTCATTCATGTACATTATGAATATACTTTTCCACATATTATCGCACAATGGTCTCCCAATTTCTTATTTTTGCCGTTCTACTGACGAAATGAAACAGTGAAATGGACTCTAGTTTGACTTGACTTGTTTCTGTCAAAATTCAACAGATAAAGTCTATTAAATTTACTGCATAGTAACCGCTTGAACCTAAAAAATAAGAAATCTGAAGACCATTGTGCAATGATTTATGGAAAAACATATTCATAATGCGCATGAATGACATTTGTATATTTCAGATAATTTAGGTTTGAGTGCAATGAACCTGTGCCCTCTTATAATTTGAGGTCTATCAGCCATGTTAATTTTTCAGAATTATTTCAGAATTAATATGGTGGAAAAGCATCAAAATATAAGAGGCTACAGATTTTATGAGCCAATTTAGAAGTAATCCAAGATATACAAATGCCATTCATATGAAGTATTACAGTCTTATACTTATAAAATGGAGCCATCTTGGAGGTAACAAGGAGCTATAACTACCAGAGCTTGAATTACAATATATAACCTTAGATTGAAATTCATGTTGCCCAACAATGCCTGATAAATACCTTCATATTTTGTTTTCAATTTTTAGATGTCTTTGAGTAGATGACTAGAAACTGCGATTTCAAGGGATTTCTCTCAAGATGGCTTCTCTGCTACAACAACTAAGGAGAACAGTAGCAATTACAGCTCAAATCACCCAGCAAGTACACAAATGTATTCTTCCATCCCTTCATCCTTCAACAGTAAGACTGTCTGACCAGATAATTCGAGACTATTCCTCTAACTCTGTGAAGGCTTTACGTAAGAGAGATATCAGGGATGACCACCCAGCCAAAGTGTATGATCCATACTTTCAGCCTCAGGATCAATCACCATACAAACTACCTGATGTTAGTAGGCGCTATGGTTACAAAGTGAAAGTTCACACAGGAGGTAAAACATATAATTTTTCATTGATGTACTGTAAAACCCCTCTTAGATGAACACTCAATATCTACAAAAACATGAACCCTACTCTATAAGATCCTTTTTAAAAATAAACAGCAAAATATATACTATGTGTGATGAACAACCCTAAAACTTATACCTTTTACCCAAGTCAAAAAAGGTACCTCATCGAGGTATCGAGAAAATATTTCTGAAAGCTGTTTGGAATAGTGAACTTTGAGGTGCTATTGAGGTTTGTAACATATACCATTGCTCATATATACAGAAATTTTTTTCAATTTACCACTGACTTCCTCAATATCAGTGTGCTCTCAAACTTTGATGAATTAACTAAATGGAGAATTTTCAAACATTTTTCACTGTTAGAAAAATTAACAAAAAAGCTCTCATTATTAATAACATTTTTTACTTCTCATGAATTAATCTTTAAGAATCTACAAACATTTTGGGGAAATTCTGGTAAAAGTGCATATTTTTGAGACTACTTAAAGTTTCCTAGAACAACTTTTTGTTTACCGATTTTTGTGAAGTGAATATTCCAGATATTTACCTAATGGTGTATTCACAAGTTACCACTCTTGTTCTTTATTATAAACATTCAGCTTAAGGCTGTTCTGGAAATTTCATTCTGTTTTAAATATCTAATAAATCAGATCTATAGGGTGACTTTAAGAACTAGACCCTTCAAAATTGTATTTTTTTTTTTACATTTATCTGTGCGATCAACCTTTGCTGATACAGAAACTAGAATATGGCCACTTAGTTAAAATTTAATATCATTGCAGGCTTATTACCTCGAGATGATGCTAAGCTGCACACAATGCCAACATATATACCTAAAGATGCCTGGGACCCAAAGAGGGCTCTGTTTGGCCAGAATGACTACATAGGTGAGACATCTATAGGCATTCGGTTGAACAACTGTTCAAAAAGAAATGAAGTTTACTAGACAGTTGAACCATATTTTGCATGAACCAACAACCTGTGGGATAAAACACAATCTAATACAATATTCCTTCTGCAGCTTAGCAGTCAGCAACTTTTTCCAGTTGTTTTTATTAAAATCAACTATTTTTATGTTCAGATTACACAGGATTATAATTTTCAATAATTCTGTTTTTCTAAATTTTTTGCCTGTTGCAATTTACTTACTCATTTCAGATATTACTATGTACTTGAGTATAAAAGACCCCGAAGATCTTCTCATTTTGTTTTCCAGATATATTAGGAGACGGAACGCTCCATCCCAGGGATCTTGTGAAAGGACCCATCTGGCTTCGTGGTTTCCGTGGAAATGAGATGCAAAGACTTATACGAAGAGTAAAAATGAACAGGAAAAAACTTCATGACACTTTTCCGAAAAAGTTACATGACATCCAAAAACGTATTAAATTTTTGCACAAGCGCTATAATCATAGACGTCTTAGGTCTAACTTCTGGAGTGGAACAACCGGAGGAAAATAAGAATATTCTAAATTATCAAACCATACTCTCAATTATAAGTCTGTCACAATCATGCTGGAAATTAGAACTCAAAATGGAACATTGCCACCAAAAGCTTTTGTATGATTCCCAAGTGAGTTGCTGCTACCATGGATATGATGATGTCATAGTTAGAGAGCAATCCTTAATGAAGGGGTTTGGTAATGAATCTTTGATTATGCTCATGGACATTTTAGCAACCAATTAACAGGTAGAGAACAAAGTGAAAGCTTTTAATGCACCCCTTTTCATCAAAGTGTGAATTTCTGGAAAATCTAGGACCACAGATTTTTATCTTACTCAGGAAATAAAAAGGTATTTAACATAAAATTTAGACTACATTTATTCTCATAGCATTCAATTTATTGCAATAATTTAATAAACTTTTGTACTGTACATGTGACATGTTTTTCAAGCACACTTTACTAAAACAAATGCTATAATTTATGAAAATGGTGCATCAGCATAATTTGGCATACATTCAATTTGACAATTTGAATCTTTAATTGTACAATCTACATGGATTATCCATGATGGATACAATAAAATAAATAAATAACTAGTAACAGTTACAAAATTCTCATCTTGTATTTAAATTCTATCATGGACAAATTGGACATGAAGGAATGAGATAATTATTTTTAAACCTTGTCTCTGGCAGAGTTGTTTGTTTGGTTTCAATCAATCTCAGGAATACTACTAGATCTAAATGGAGACTTCATTCTCTATGGCTTGTACATGTCCATTCAAATATGAGTTTTTACCATTTTATGGCAAACAATCCAAATTGGAAAAATTCTATTTAATTTCAAGTGATCTGATTGGCCCATATGACTTGCATAGAATGCATATTACAAATAGACCTTTATTATTCTGTGTCATATTCAAAATTCATATTTATAATGTCAATACATGTTAAATACATCATGAAAAACAAATCTCTGTTGGTGTCTCATGGGAAAATTTTTCTCCATATGACTCGGAGCATGTAGTTTTTCTCAGCTCCCATGATGTCTCTGACATATAAAGAAATTATTTATATCATAGACTTGTCCATGTTTATATGTCACTCTATTTCTATATTTACTTTGTAGCGATTGGAAATATCCATATTCCATAGTTATCTGATATTCCATAGTTTTCTGATATTGGGATATGCATGTACATTGTACATAGGATCACAGAATTCCTGCATATTTCACAGTCCAGCAATTTCCTAAATGGCCTAAGTTTTGTCAAATTGGCTTCACCTGGCATTGTCTGTATTATTAGGTATATTACTCTGGTCCAGTAGGTGGGCTGCAATGGCAGAAAGGAAACAAGTCAGTAGTGAAAAAACTAGAGTGACACTCAAGTCCCACAATACATCAAGAAAGTAGAATCAAACAGAATTAATCTTAATTTCAAATACTGAAAGTCAGTTGAAGTAATACTATATTTCAGGGGGGGAGATTTCCCAAAGATGCCCTATCATATTAGCACGTTCGAAAACAAATTTTATAAACAGGCTTCAATTTGCCGTTAAAATGGATCTCCAAATGTTCACTGTAGTTTTATGAGTATTCTGTACAAGTATGGATTGAGTAACTTCAATAGTATTACCGTAGGTTTGAAATGATGATGTTGAACTGATGTTAACGCCATTCCCACGATTTCAAATTTAACTTTGCGCATGCGCAGCAATGAGAGAGCACGCGCTAAGGTTTGTTCACGTGATCGAATCCTGCAATTTGATTGGAGATGATGCAAGAGATGATGTAATGGGGAATCCCCGAATACGATAGAATATGAAAGAATTATGGGAGCTACTCACTCCTCCTGACTATATTTGAAGTCTGTATATGAAATTACATACCAAGATTTGATTTTAAAATTTGGTGAATCAACTTTGAGAGAATGTGACTTATATGTTGATAAGCCCTCAGTCAGACCCTAGATATGATATCATGTAAAAGGAAATATCTTGATTTATCACAAGTAATGTAATAGTTATAATACTCAATACAGTTAGATTAAATCAGTCCACTTAATATATTTTTATAAATAAATGAAACTTTGTTTAAATCTGCAATACTATTTGACTTGAGTTAACTGGCAGATAAACTAAAAAAAACATCATTCTGTATAAGGGAGGAGGAGGGGTTGGTTATATCAAGGGGCTGAATAGATCAGTAATATAACTATGTAAGCCATGCACAATAAAGAGAAAGTAATTGCATAAGTTTCAATAATTTATTTCAATTAATAACAATACTGTACAACATTTATTTACAATTTTCATTATGTACAAACAGTTAAATAGTATATGAATAACAATAATACATTTGGCAAGAGAAATCACTCTCCATCAGATCCAACTTTGGCAACTATAACTAGAGTCTATATTATTTACAACCACTCATAGTTGACAAGATCACCACTAAAGTCTCTATGGTTGTCATGACGCAGATGCGCCATCAGCTTCTTGTTGACACGTCCCTGGAGTCGCTTCCTGGATAGCCACTTGCGAACTTGCTTGGTGGAGAGCCCTGCAGATTGAGCTAGTTGACCAACCATCTCGCCTGTGGGGTAGAGATTGTCGCTGTTCTGTCCAAACCAGGTGTCAAGTACGAGTTTGCTGGTCCGGGAGATTCTCTGGCGTTGAACCACGGGTGCAGGGACCTTGTAGGTGTTAGTGGAAGACTTGCTTGATTTCGCAGGTGTTGACGTCATGAGAGGCTCCCTGGGTAGAGCAGAGTGGCTGGCACCTCGGGGCTCAAACTTGGCCAGCTTGGCACCGATGATGTCCTTAGGGGCAGCAGAGAGTTGGCTCAGGTTGCGTTCAACACTGTCAAAGAGAGCTAGTTTCTGAACATCATGCTGACGATTGATGGCTGTCTGGTGGTGAGGCTTTGGGTTGGCGAGGAGAAGACGATAGCGACCACATTCAATCTCGTGCACTTGCTTGCGATAGAAGACTTCTAGTTCTAGCAGTTTCACATTGTCAGATAGGCGATACTTGAGCATGCTGAACTGCATCTCCAGCATAGAGCCCCGTAGTGACAAAGCATCAGTTGTATTCTCTGCTGGCCTTGGTCCCACTGTAGACTGGCTCGCATCTGTAATGGTGAATTCTTCCACTGATGTGCTTGACAGAAAATCGAGTCCAGACTTCTGGTTCATCCTATCTGATGTGGAGAAACTTAACTGGCTTGATGATGCATCTCGATGGATCTTGTTCACTGTAGCTGGTGAAAATGTCAGATAGCTGGCTGACTTCAATGAGTTGTGTGGAGCTGTTTGCTGTTCGGACACTGCGCTCACTTCTGTGCTCAGGTTGAGAAGGTTGTTCATCGACAATGGGATGTCTCTCCTCGTCTTGGCTGCAACTGGTGTACTGGTGGTGTTTGTCTTCATGTTGCGTTTATAACTGTGTATATTCACTGTTTGATAACTGACTTAAAGTCTGAATATTACAAAAAATGATCAGGCTTTTATACAAATCAGGAATGAATTAATCTAAATGCAGCAATCTGATTGGCTGAGATCGTTTTTTCTTTGATCCGTTTGATCCCACCAGGGTATTATTTAAATCTTAACTCCCTGTGGATCAAGAAACAGTGGGATTAAGATCAAAGCACAACAGGACTCCTTATGTGGCCTCACTTGGCAGGTAAGTTTTCTTGATCTCAAAGATCCCACTGGGGTATAATTCTTAACTCCCTATGGATTAAAATACAATGGGATTAACCAGATCAATAAACTTAGATCCCATTGGGGTTTTCATAATTCTCAACGCCCTGTGGATGAATATGCAAAGGAATTAGGAACAAAGCAAAACTCCTTGTGTGTCCTCATTTGGCAGATAAATTTTCTTTGATCTCAATGGATAATATTTTTTTACAATTCCTAGCTATCTGGGATATAATGGCATCAATGATATAAGGTACTGTTGTAACAGTTTTTTAAGTTCGAATAAAGTAACACAAAATTCTTAAAGTTAAAGTCCTAAACGTTTATTATTTCATTATCAAAATCCAATCTTTACATTGAGTTTAGTTTAATCAGTATGTTGTGCCGTAGTAAAAACTGTTCTGATCATGATATTCTGAGATGATAATCAAGAAAAGTCCGAAAGTATGGAAAGTTCCACAGGGAAGGTTCCAAAAAGGAGGTGAATAATAATTTCCCATAATTACCAAATAAATGAACCAATAATGAACAAATTAAAGATAATATCAAATTAAATCTACTGGACTTCCTAAACCTCCTTTAAATGGAGGCAAATGTTGATTCCCATGAGGAACCAACATTTGAACCAATAGAAAGCCAAGTAGATTATGTAATACACTAGAATATCCTGAACTAAAAAATCCTCCTTTATGGGAATTGGAACTTTCCTGATAGAAAAGACATAACAATATGAAAAGAGCCAAGATTTTAATGATATTTATGAATGATAGCACGTATTGAGTGCAAATGAACTTAAGGAGAATAAAGAATAGAAATGATGTACATCAAATGTATAGAACAATAACATATATCTTAAAACCTAAATCAATGTGATATAAAAATGAAGTTGTACCAAAATTTAATGTATATGAAAACCTAAACCCTGTTTCATTACCCCCAACTTAATTAAAAGTGTTTGTCCTCAAACACAAAATATTTGTACAATAAACATTGTCAACTAAAATATTCAATAAAAAACAACAATGTTTCATTGCCACCAACTTTGCAATTACAACAAAGTTTTACAGAGTTTTACTCCATATAATAACTGTTCTTCAAACGCATTAATATCTAATAAAGGTTTCTTTTACAATTTTTGTTTCATTTTTTCAATGCAAAAGTATGCATGGTATGTTTTCTTAAAGCAGTATATCAACAGTATAAAAGAACATGCATGGTTAAATAGTGATATTTGAAGTTGTAAAATATAAGGACACTCTGTGACACATGTGTTATTAAAAATTCACAATTGTTTACTATTCTTGTTTACTATGAAATGTATTGTTTACTATAAATGCAATTGTTCCTGGTTTCACGAATGTCATGTTATCCCAAAGTCAAAGGTTAGTAAAGTAGAATATGTTTATATTATTTAAGAAAGTTGCCAAGTAACAGGACAGCAGAATAAAAACAATATTTCACCTCTAGCCTCTTATTCCAAACTTGCCATACATATGCATTATGCAAAGTTACATACAAGCAGCCATTAGCGATTCTTCAAATTGAATTCATTGTTAGGTAAGATAATTTTTCTGTATAAAATGTTCTTGCCTAAAGCATTGGCATGACATACTTTTAAAACAAATTAATATGAAATTCTTCCTTGACTTTACTATAGATCCTTGAGATCACTATAAAATTATCATTATTTGAAACAGATACAAACGCATGAATTATATTCAGTTTAGGGATTCGTTACAGAACTTGACCAACTATGGTAAACTGAAAAACTGTCATGTCACATTAATTGTACCGATATTGGTTTTCATTAACTTTCATATTTTCTAAATGGTTCAGTACTAAATTATTTAGAATAGCCTTTCACCTCCCCGTAATATACAAACCATCTAGATGTAAGATTGCAGTATATATAACATCCACTGGCTAATGGAAATAGCATAGAATCATAACCACATAGAATTTGTCCTTGACATTCAACAAAATACCCGACGACAATTAGAATCTCAATATCTTAAATCAGACCTAACTTGACTACAAAAATTGAATCGAACAACCAGAAAGTAAATGCAATTTATCATGAAAATTAAATTTATCTCAAGGAATAAAAGGCATCCAGTATTTTCATGCAGAAATGTGTGCACCCACTTCGACATGAAAAACCGTGATAACCTATTATATAACCCCTAAATTCTCATAACAGAGACATACAAAACATGTCTATGTTCATACTTGATCAGATTTACTATGATTAACCAGCTACCTTAATAAAAACTGTATATATTTCCTGAAGAACATTTAATCATTTGAATGTTACCCTTGCCTGATTTAGTTTACACTGTCGTAAATAGTAAGCAATGTTTTCAATCAGGGTCTAGTTGTCAGTCCTCTCTCACAACAGTTTTCTTTTGATGTTGGTTATATGTTGTCTCTAAGCACTGATATTCAAAATGTTATAAAATACAGTATATCAAGAGGTTGATTTCTATGGTCATTATTTTAATAATCCATTCTTCTTCATCGCTCAAGCATAATCCATTATATATCCATAAGGCTTGTTTACATTTGCTATATCCAAGCATTGTATTTTGTCAACATCTTGCAGCAGTTGACATTTTAATATTCAAGCAATGGGATGCACAATTGGGTAATATGGTTTCTTGTATATATCACATTCATTTCACTAAACTTGTATGGTTGCACTTTCTGGGCATCATGGTGACATCTGGGGAACGATACATCTGTTGCAACATTATCTTCGTATTAAAAGTACATCTTTTGGTTGAGACATGCACTGATACACTATCATGGGTAACATGGAACACGGGACGGCTACGACTGCACTCTGGCATTACGGGTTACTTCTCTGGGGCACGGGACATCTACGAATGCACTACCTGGCATTAAAATACTTCCCGGGGGTACGAACATCTACGAATGCACTACCTGGCATTAAAATACTTCCCGGGGATACGAACATCTACGAATGCACTACCTGGCATTAAAATACTTCCCGGGGATACGAACATCTACGAATGCACTACCTGGCATTAAAATACTTCCCGGGGATACGAACATCTACGATTGCACTACCTGGCATTAAAATACTTCCCGGGGAAACGAACATCTACGAATGCACTACCTGGCATTACGATTACTTCTCTGGGGCACGGAACATCTACGAATGCACTACCTGGCATTACGATTACTTCTCTGGGGCACGGGACATCTACGAATGCACTACCTGGCATTAAAATACTTCCCGGGGGTACGAACATCAAAGAATGCACTCCCTGGCATTACAGTTAACATCTCCTGGGTATGGGGCGTCTACGAATATAAACTCTGGCATTATAGCTCTCCCATTTAGTGTATCAGCTCACGATAAGTATGAATGTGCGTCATCCTACATTTTTCATTATCATCACATGTGGCAATTGTTTATATAAGGTTATAATATTCCTTAAGAGCAGCTTACAAGCGTTTTAAACACTCAGTTTATATACATATTTACAGTGAGAAACAGTTTATATTCAATATCCAATTTCCATGTCCAAATAATTTATGTATAGTAATCCATCTTCTTTAAAGATTACTGTCAACGGGCTAATGAGTGCAGCTGACCTAACTGCTGGTGCAAAATTGTCAGAATTTCTAACTCCAACTTGATGAATTTTATTTTCATATGCCATTTTCGTAAAAATCATTCTTATTGAAGGTTATGGTGACTTTTGTCTTCTTTATAACACAATATCAAGGGCAAAACATCGTAACTAATATGCAATATCCATAAACGTTTTGAATGCCATCTTCCCCGTAATTTTAAGTGGGGGAAGCATGACTAGATTTTTTACTCCATGAACATTATGATTGTTAGGTGTCGGTAAACATTCCACTGATAATTTCTAATTCATATGTGATCCAACTACATGTATGTGTTTTAGCCATAACAATTGTTTACAATTAAACGCATATAGTTACCTGATGTACTAATCCAGCGTTATTGATAATCTGATTTTAATCCGACGATAATGATAATCCAATTCGAGATGATAATCCAAGTTAATTCCAATAGCAATGATAATCCAATATAAATCCAATAGTGATAAAAATCCCAAATTAGTTGAAGTTGAATCCGAAATGTTAAATTAGTCCAATTAAGTTATAGAAAACTTAATTATATCCTGGCAACGGCACCAATGAAACAGTTTTTTAAGTTCGAATAAAGTAACACAAAATTCTTAAAGTTAAAGTCCTAAACGTTTATTATTTCATTATCAAAATCCAATCTTTACATTGAGTTTAGTTTAATCAGTATGTTGTGCCGTAGTAAAAACTGTTCTGATCATGATATTCTGAGATGATAATCAAGAAAAGTCCGAAAGTATGGAAAGTTCCACAGGGAAGGTTCCAAAAAGGAGGTGAATAATAATTTCCCATAATTACCAAATAAATGAACCAATAATGAACAAATTAAAGATAATATCAAATTAAATCTACTGGACTTCCTAAACCTCCTTTAAATGGAGGCAAATGTTGATTCCCATGAGGAACCAACATTTGAACCAATAGAAAGCCAAGTAGATTATGTAATACACTAGAATATCCTGAACTAAAAAATCCTCCTTTATGGGAATTGGAACTTTCCTGATAGAAAAGACATAACAATATGAAAAGAGCCAAGATTTTAATGATATTTATGAATGATAGCACGTATTGAGTGCAAATGAACTTAAGGAGAATAAAGAATAGAAATGATGTACATCAAATGTATAGAACAATAACATATATCTTAAAACCTAAATCAATGTGATATAAAAATGAAGTTGTACCAAAATTTAATGTATATGAAAACCTAAACCCTGTTTCACTGTCGATCAACTTTTTTCTACAATTCAGTTTTTCTTGAAAAAATATAGGTAAAAGATATACTGTATAAAAAAATATGTGAAAATCAGAAAGATTGACTGTCTGGTTATTTCTCGAAAAATGTTTTAATTCAACATGGCTGCCAATGAGAAAATGCATTATTCAAATAAAAGAAATTGCATAATTCAGATTCGCTTTAAAAAATTGGGATCAAACTATGGAAAATCAAAATTATTTTGAAAATTATTTATGAAAATTCACCATCTGGATCTTGAGAAAAAATAAAATAACTTTGAATATTATGAATCAGTGGGGATAAATTATTCCATTGTATATAATGACTGCCCATAAAATGTCTTGATAGATTAACATGAGTGTGTGATAGAGCCAACAAAAAGTTCCAAAAAGCAAGCCCAATGTCCCCAATCCTTACTATTGAAAATGGATTGTAGCAATACTATCGAATATGAATGTACTTATTAAGACTCGATCAGCTTGAGTTCTTCTGAGAAAATGAGTATTTCAGCAAGGGTCCATTGACTTAACATGGGGATATATACACTGTGTACATAGGAGATGTATAACAGGTTCCATCTATCTACTTGGCAATTATATAAGCCACACACAATAAAGACAAGACATTGCATAAGTTTCAATTATAATTTATTTCAATTAATAACAATACTGTACAATATTTATTTACAATTTTCATTATGTACAAACAGTTAAATAGTATATGAATAACAATAATACATTTGGCAAGAGAAATCACTCTCCATCAGATCCGACTTTGGCAACTATAACTAGAGTCCATTTATATTATTTACAACCACTCATAGTTGACAAGATCACCACTAAAGTCTCTATGGTTGTCATGACGCAGATGAGCCATCAGCTTCTTGTTGACACGTCCCTGGAGTCGCTTCCTGGATAGCCACTTGCGAACTTGCTTGGTGGAGAGCCCTGCAGATTGAGCTAGTTGACCAACCATATCGCCTGTGGGGTAGAGATTGTCGCTGTTCTGTCCAAACCAGGTGTCAAGTACGAGTTTGCTGGTCCGGGAGATTCTCTGGCGTTGAACCACGGGTGCAGGGACCTTGTAGGTGTTAGTGGAAGACTTGCTTGATTTCGCAGGTGTTGACGTCATGAGAGGCTCCCTGGGTAGAGCAGAGTGGCTGGCACCTCGGGGCTCAAACTTGGCCAGCTTGGCACCGATGATGTCCTTAGGGGCAGCAGAGAGTTGGCTCAGGTTGCGTTCAACACTGTCAAAGAGAGCTAGTTTCTGAACATCATGCTGACGATTGATGGCTGTCTGGTGGTGAGGCTTTGGGTTGGCGAGGAGAAGACGATAGCGACCACATTCAATCTCGTGCACTTGCTTGCGATAGAAGACTTCTAGTTCTAGCAGTTTCACATTGTCAGATAGGCGATACTTGAGCATGCTGAACTGCATCTCCAGCATAGAGCCCCGTAGTGACAAAGCATCAGTTGTATTCTCTGCTGGCCTTGGTCCCACTGTAGACTGGCTCGCATCTGTAATGGTGAATTCTTCCACTGATGTGCTTGACAGAAAATCGAGTCCAGACTTCTGGTTCATCCTATCTGATGTGGAGAAACTTAACTGGCTTGATGATGCATCTCGATGGATCTTGTTCACTGTAGCTGGTGAAAATGTCAGATAGCTGGCTGACTTCAATGAGTTGTGTGGAGCTGTTTGCTGTTCGGACACTGCGCTCACTTCTGTGCTCAGGTTGAGAAGGTTGTTCATCGACAATGGGATGTCTCTCCTCGTCTTGGCTGCCACTGGTGTACTGGTTGTGTATGTCTTCATAGTGCGTTTATAACTGTGTATATTCACTTTCTGATAACTGACTTAAAGTCTGAATGTCCAAGAAAATGTTCAGGCTTTTATACAAATCAGGAATGAATTAATGTAAATGCAGCAATTTGATTGGCTAAGATTGTTTTTTCTTTGATCTGTTTGATCACACCAGGGTATTATTTAATTTTTAACTCCCTGTGGATCAAGAAACAATGGGATTAAGATCAAAGCACAACATGTTTCCTTATGTGGCCTCACCTGGCAGGTAAGTTTTCCTTGATCTCAAGGATCCCACTGGGGTATTATTCTTAACCACTTGTGGATTAAAATACAATGGGATTAAGATCAAAGAAATGTGTTCTTTATGTGGCCTCACCTACAATTGAAGTTAGGCTTGATCTCTTAGATCCCATGGGGTATTTATAATTCTTAACCTCCTGTGAATCAACATGCAATGGGATACAAATTAAAGCAGAATTCCTTATTTGGCCTCACCTGGCAAGTAAGCTTTCTTTGATCCCGATGGGTATTTATTTATTATTATACTCCCTGTGTAGTAAAAGAGAAAGTCATTTGATCCAAGATCTACAATGTAAGTTTTATCTGTTATGGAATGCAGCACTGTGATTGGCAGAGAATGTTTTTTTTTCTTTGATCTGTTTGATCCCACCAGGGTATTATTTTAATCTTAACTCCCTGTGGATCAAGAAACAATGGGATCAAGATCAAAGCACGACGGGACTCCTTATGTGGCCTCACTTGGCAGGTAAGTTTTCTTGATCTCAAGGATCCCACTGGGGTATTATTCTCAAGCACCCATGGATAAAAATACAATGGGATTAAGATCAAAGATCATCTGTTCTTTACCTTTGAAGGACAATTATTTCTAAATATGAAGTGTTGCACTTTGATTGGTTTAAAATGGTTTCCTTTGATCAATGTAAGTAAATGAGAAAGCTATCAATCCCAGATCTTTGCATAACCATTTTATCTTTCATGAAATGCTGCAATATGATTGGCCAAGAATGTTCTCCTTTGATTCGTAAAAATAAAGGAAAGAATCATTCGATCCCAGATCTCCTCGGATCTTTATAAGATTAGGTCACTTTGATTGGTTGATAATTATTTTTGATAAATAATAAGTTAATAAGTAAAATCAACACTTATACAATACCTGCCAGGGGTATCCTGAGTTTTTCTTTGTCCCCTACTATGACTTCATGGATCTGTTCTCTAAACATGTATTTCACATAAAGTTGTTTCTCTTCGCCGTAACATGGATCAAAGAACCCTTCCAAGCCACTCTGTAAACAAATAAAAAATGTAACTCTTAACACCTAAAAGGATTTATGAATTGCAAAGAGAGACCATCTTCAATTTAACTGTGCTTTTATTTATAACACATCCAAGTTTTCTGAATGAGAGCCCTTGCAATTGTTTTACACTTTATTTCTCCAGGAAATGTTTCTGATCAAATTGCCCTTGCAATTGTTTTTCACTTTTCTTGAGGAAATGTTTTGATCAAATTGCCCTTGCAATTGTTTTTCACTTTTCTTGAGGAAATGTTTTCGATCAAAAGAGCCCTTGCAATTGTTTTTACTTTTCTTGAGGAAATGAATTGATCAAATTGTGTGAATAAGGCATATAACTCCTTCATTGAAATTTTTATTTTCCTGATTTTCCATCCCTTCCATCCCTGCTTTTTTAATTTTTCTTGAATCAATATGTTGTGTTTTGACACAGTTAACCCCTTTAAAGGAATAAGTGATTCCTTTTCGATAAAGTGGAAAACAATATTTCCGAAGTTATTTTCCAATAGGGAAAACTCATGCGATCCATTGCTTTTAGCTACTTTTGGTCACCCATAATGGATATCTTTAAAACCCCCGAAGGAATCATTAATTCCTTTAAAGGGGTTAACTGTGTGTCAAAACACAACATATTGATGCAAGAAAAATTAAGAAAGCAGGGGTGGAAGGGGATGAAAATCAGGAAAACATTTCAGAAAAACATGTGGGTGGGTTGTTTACATCTTCCCTGTCTCAAAGTCGAAATTATTTTATCATCTCTAGGAGTGCTTTCCTGGAGGTAATGCATTGGTCTAACATATGCACCTGTTTACATCCTCAGAAAATAGCCAAAATCCAACATATGACTGTCCGAAATCTGTTGCGATACTTTCCCTCCTCCTTTGGAAAACCAAAATTCTGGGGTCATGCGGAATCACAGCGCACTAGGATGAGTGATTTTTAAACAATGCACTACAACAATATCTAGCAAATAAGATATACAAATCCGGAACAGACCATTCCCCCAAAATAACTACCTTAGAGACTCCTCCCGGGACTATCAGCTTATGGTTGTCTATCAATACATACAGTGGATCAGTGACATCTATACAGCATTCTTCATTCAAATGCCTGCAATGCAAGGTTAATCAACAATTAAGGAAAAGCAATACATGTATCACAACAAAGCATAAACATCCAATTGTCACCACCTGCCATTTGTTACAGATGCCATTTGTTACAGACACTGAATGCCGAAGACTGTACACAAAAAAGTTGGAGACTATAACAATATGTCAGCACTTGTGATGGTGACATAACAATATGTCACCACTTGTGATGGTGACATAAAAAGTGATGCCAAACAATATCCTCCAGCTATACGATACTTGATTACTTGAAGTTTTATGGACATGTTATCTTGTCATAAATCTAAACCATTCTAGCCAATATACCCTAGTTTCACTCATTCACCAAAACGGTTCACTGGACCTATTAGAAAGGCCTATCCTTAATCACAGTGACTATCTAGGCTCTGTATATATGGCGAGCAAGTTCCCACTGACATTGCGAGCAATAAGCTCATGTTAAAAGCGGGGCCTTGAAAGATGATAAAATATAGTTATAGTTAAAGAACGTTGTTGCCCTGCAATTGAAATATTCATTGTACTATGAAATAAAGTTGTACTGAGTTTATTTTACAAATCTTTCATATAAATGTTATATTTCAATTATCATGGGCTCATTGCTCGCGATGTCAGCAGGGCCTGGATAGTCCCCGTGATAATGGCCTGAATGTAATCAATCATACACTACTCTTACCTGGACTCCTCGCTTGTATATATTTTTCCATATTTGGCCGCCAGAATGATCAAACCAAGTAATTTCTCTGCCTGCTTTATTGATTCTATTTTATTCTTCATTAGTAGAATCTACAAAAACAAACATTTGAAACAATTAAAAGTATTGTTTTTATTCAAAAGCAATATTCATGCGTATAGTATGTTACCAGGTTTATATGAAAAATCTGTAAGTGTAAAGCCCTTGGGATTACAAACATTGCTTCTCTTTGGATTCAGCATGAAAATGGTGAAAAATCTAAATTTCCTTATGTTGTTGCAGGTCATTGCAAAAAATGAGTACGTTTGAGTAGATCCCAACTAAACATGGGACTATAGACAAAAGAGTAATGGATAGACAGCCATAGAATACACTTACTGCTTCTCGTGCCTCCTCTTTCTTCTTCTGTAACCTCTCTCTGTTCTCTTGCTTCTGTTCCTTTAGCTCCCTTGTAAAAAGCATGGAATTTTGTTATATTCTCGTACAACTTTATTTCCCTCATGTACTATTGATTTAGATTTCAAATGATTTTTTAATTTTTTTTTTTCAAATGATTTTAATTTTTAAATTAATAGAATAACCAGGAAGTTAGTAGTTACAACTATGATCAAAATAGGAATTCAACTTCTAATTTACCAGGGTTACAATCGTCAGTTTTGTACCATGTGCAAGCTTTTGTTAAGGGGGTTCACTTTTCAAAAAATTCCAGGAGGATTAATATTTGACAACTTTTTCAAAAAATCACTTGAAGTGCTCAAAATGGTGAAAAATCTGCATGATTTTGAGAAAATTTTTGGCCAAAGGGGGTTCAGCCCCCCCCCCCTCTAGTTACGAGCCTGTGTCAATACACACAAGAAAAAGGTCGATATTGTGAATATACCCAGCATCAGACTTAACATAATGTTGAACATTCAAACAAACTTCTTTATGCACTCACTTGTCTTTCTGTTCCTTTAAAAAAGGCTTCACAAGGAGTTGTTTCACTGCAAAGTATGTCAAGACTGGAATCACAGAGCCATAGAAGAGGGCACTGGGGATAATCTGCTCTGATAAATGTATGGGGAACAGGTAGACTTGGTTACCCCTGTTAAGTCTAAAAACATGAAATACAAATACATGTAAATAAAGAGGACAGAGAAATGTTTGGCGTTAATATATACTCATAGCAATTAAATACCTATAGATTGCAAATAAAATTATTCAGCGGATGTAATAGTATCATTTCATTGAAACTATTTAAAACCTTTAGTTCTTAAAACTTCTATTTAATTTCATAATTGTAGAGAAAAAGTGATATATTTGATTTGTGTAGTGCATTTGAAGTTTAATTGCAGCAATATTTACACATAAGCCAATGGAATAATATCCTAGATGCGAGTAAAAATAATCTTGATTTACGTCATTAAAAATTTACAATTCAGTCAAACTGATGTCATATTTGGAATCTACATATAAAATTACATCTAGAAATGTGGTTTTGAAAAGAGTTTACAACTTTGAAAATTTAATTTTTTTTGAAAATGTGACTTCTAGGTCGGGGAGATTCCCCATAGACCCCATGTTGTAAAACCACAAAAAGTGAAATATCTTTTCTTGTGTTTGGCAGATAATATTTTCTTTTACTGGGCATATTCTAATTTGTATAACTATCAGATACATAAGGGTAATATGAAAAGTGAACCACTAAAACTGATGAATATTCAGGTTTAAGGGAATTTTGTAATACCCTGCCATGTTATTTCCCCCGAATCAGCCACCTGGTGGTGAAACTGGTAACTACCTACTCGCATCTGAGTAATTGGGACGAGCAAGCTACTTTTAGTTAACTGCCATCTATATTAGCAACATGGCACTTCAGTAAATAAAAATATTTTTCAAACAAATATTATTACGTAGAGTTATGAATATATGTTATGAGGATCAAAAAAGGTTTTAAGAGCCTTTAAAACATACCATAATTTTAGAGCATCCAAAAAGTTCATATTTTGTGGGATTTAGTTATAAGAAACATTGTTGTATTAAAATTATACCAAAAATATTAGGTATATACACAGCAAGGTCTAAAATCAGGTATGAAATATACCTAAGACCTCCCCTTGATGCATAATTAACAACATCCCTAACTTACTTTATTTTCAACGTGACACCCACTGGGGAGCCGACAATAATGGTGGCTCCTAGGATACTAAACTGAGATATCTTTTTCTCTACACCATACTCCAATAAAGCACCAAATGTTCCAGCCCTGAAACAGAGCATTGACAATATAAAGAATGTGAAAAAATTGGAAAATCAGAACCAGAGATTCAAAACCTTACATTGTCTTTATGTTCAAACAACAATTTTATCTAACTCTTTAACTTAATTTATATCAATGTTTGAAGACACGAATATGATGCAGCTGCCAAAATTAAGAACAACCATTGGCAGCAAGAAATAGTATGTAACAATTGCAATCTATCTAAATCTACAGATACCATTTGATCTCTTCATTGCTAGCATAATTTATTTAATTAAATGGACTTGTTTACCGTTTACACAATCTGTGTACTGGAAATTAAAGTATAGTTTATCTTAATCTTACTTCAAGGACAGACGCAGTTTAGCTTCCTCTTCCTGAAATCTCCTGAAGTAGTTGAGTGCCACATAACACGTTGGGATTCCCAGCTGAAAAAGTTCATGATATAGATTATTTTGGAAGATGAATTTCAGTAAGTTGCACATTTAATATGTCTTAATAACACAAATTGAAATATTATGTTGATAAAGAGGCTTACGAAGAAGAAAAGAATCTTACGGACACTTTTTTTCAATGAATATTAAATCTGGTGTTTCCTTGTGTTATCTTGTGGCTTTATCTCTAGGATCCATTTTTTAAGATTGGTATCATAGACAAACAACAATTATTTAATACACTAACATTCATGTCATTAATTACCTTACAGAAGACAATTACTATCATTCATACCAAAAATGGACCCCTGGGGGTCATCAACAGAAACTTCGTAAAGTTAAGAACTCCTACACTAATTGTTATGACCGTGCATATAATGATGTCATTGGAAGAAAACAATGTACTTAGGAACTCAACTTTAGGCATGTTTCTGTTAATGACCTCCTGATTACACCCAAAAATGATACAATTTTTAAAAATATTTTGTGTCTCAAACCTGCATTATAACTGCTAGATGGTGGACCTGGTTGTCCCATGTGACTGTTGTGTTCATACTGGACATTAATCCAACATTCCATGTGAGCCTTCCATGGATATTCTTGTCTAATTGCTGAGCTAAAACTACAAAATATCATCGAATATCAACAAGACATACACATGCAAAATGTCACCACCTACAATTTGTTACAGACGCCAACTACCAAACATCATCTGCCAAACACCAAACACCATCAACATTAAAGCTTTAATTCCTACCTGTGGTGAGACCAGGTCTTATACCATGTGGGGTGAATTGAAATGTTCCTGCCATTGTACCATATCTGTAAATAACAAAATATACTTTAAGCCTACCTGATATATGATATGCTATATATTTTATATTAAAAAGGTATAATTATTACCAATAACTACTAATATTTGGTTCTTCGGATGTGTTCCATGTGGTAAGATGTTCCCTGAAGAGGGAAAAAGAGAATTAGATAAATGTACATGTTAATATGGAGAAAAATCAATTTTGAATACGATTAAATCATAAAACATGTTCAATCTCATTTAAAAGTAAACAAAAAAGAGCGATAAGAAAAGAAAAAAGAGGTATCAAAATGTTCTCTTCAATATTGCCATAATTATGATGAATTCCATTTTGTATTCAATTTTCAACATGTATGCAGATAATCATGTTTTTATTTTTGAGTTTTGTTTTAAATCATACATGAAAAGTACAAAAATAAGATTTTTCTTGGAATATGTACAGGAAGCATTTTTCTCCAGTTCTGAAAACCCAGGACAATGCTCATGTATGAAATATGGGAAGTTGCACACCCTTCTCTTGAAAGCTCATGCTTTAATTTGAGATATATAAAGATTGCCATATTCATTTCCTTACCCCCTACTCCATAGAGTTCTGAAGCCCCTCATACTAAATGATGCCCCATTGCCTGCTGCTACCTCCACCTTTAGATAGAAAACAGATTTAGGAATTATACCAATTACATGACCCAAAAATCGTCAATAAGATATATTGTTAATGGAAATATATTCTATAATTCTAAAAAGTACGCTATCTATTTCCCAGACATGTATAACAAATACTTTATTAATGTTTGAGTACATGAAAAGGAGACTGGGTACAAAACAACAAATTGGCTTACAATGCTTTAACTTATGAAAGTATCACAATTTACCTCTCCCCAACCATTATGTGATGTCATACGCCGAAACGAGGCTGAGACATTGCCAGCACCTACTCCATTACTAGCTGAGAGGGTACCCCCAAGGGTTGCAGTGTCAGTCAGGGTGAGGGGGGCCTCTATGGATTGTGAAATTGACATCTGACTAATCTCTATTGTTGGAAGACCACTGTAGAATAGCGATTAAGGGTTGTTTTTTGTACATTTTAAGAATCACGAGTGAAATAAGAAATCTTACTGTGTATGATTTGGAAACATAGCCAGTAAAAGTTGTTCTGACAATTCATAAACTCAATGAAAAAGCCATTTTATCAGGATATTTTACAGGTAGTACTAGCTAAAAGTAAATCTAAAATTGTTTGAAAGTTTGAAAAATTTAATGAATGCATATGTTACTTCTTACTATTTTATACTTTTAACAAATAAATACTGAATTATGTACATGTACAATCCATGTATTGACAGAGTATATATTTTGAGCAATAGGGTTTACCTGAAGAATTGTTCATCATATCTATCGAAAAGGTCTGTTGCATCTATCCCCACATTTATAGAACCCTGAAAAACAAACAGTTCAACATTGAAGCATGCAAACATGCTATCTTAAATTAATCTCTACCATACTAAAACATATGAACTAAAACTAACTATTTTGCCACAGTACACAGGCCTGTAGCCGAGTGAATCCCTCCAACTTAACCAAAAAAATATTTCAAAATCATGCAGTTTTAAACTATTCTGAGCACTTTTGAGTGATTTTGCGCCAAAATCAAATGAGAACTTCCCTGGATTTTTTGTGAGCCCCCTGGAATTTAAAAAAAAAAGTAGTCCCCTTGACAAAAGCTGGCTACAGGCCTGGCCTTTTATACAAGCACTAAATGAACTTTGGTGGATTAACACATGGTAATATTCTACCTTTGGATTTGTTTTTTGTTGTAATCTTCTCTCCTCTTCTTCTTTCTTCATACGTTCATATTCCTGGTACATCTCTTCAGGTCTTTTATTCCTAGGGACAACCTAAGGGAGAGAAAATACCACATATGCAACAGAGTTTTATATAATACAAATAAGAATTCACACATATTAAATCTAGTAGTGCATTCATCCTATACAGCAGCTTGTAGTTTTAGGTGCAAAATTGAGGGGAATATATAAATACTTAGTATTGACTGAGACCATCATCATTTATGTTAGTCTCAGGTATTGACTACAGTTTTATAATATCATTTCATACCTGTCAATTGTGAGATATATTATTAGTGTTATATATCTATCATATTTACATGTACATGTACATGTAAATTATATACATGTGTATATATTTTACAGTATACCCTGCCTACTGTAATAATACATACCCAAGACTCCATTTCATCAACAGCTTGCCTGCCCAATGTATCATATACATATTTTTTCTGGGGGTCTGCAAGAACTGAAAAAAAATCCAAATCAAATAATCTATTTGTAACAAGGCTATGGAAACTCTACCACAAAATATTCAAATAATGGTCACATAAAAAAGATTTTATGGATCTGAATTCTGGTAAGGGTATTTTTGCAACTGACTGATGTTGCATCAATGTTGTATTTCCCATAATTGACCATGGTTACAGTATGTCACTCAGTATGTCACATGGACATACATGTATATGTATGTGAATTTTGTTTGTTAAGTTTAATCTAACTTACTATCTCTTGCTTCAGACACTTTGTTAAAGAGAGTCTCCGCAGATTTCTTGCTTTTTGGGTCTAGATGTTTGTCTGGGTGGTACAGTCGGCTGTATTTTTTATATGCACGTTCCACATCATCGATACTTGCCTGGAATATTTAAAACATTATCATATTAGCAAACAATATGGAACAATATTGAGTCTAATGTGTCGGATAGAGTTAATTTTTTAATTTACTTATTCATTCAGTCCGTAGAACCTGAAATGAAAAAAAACTGCCATGTCATTGAAAATCAAATGTATCCATGTTAATAGGAGCAAATGTATGGATGTCATTGTCAAGCGATGGAAATGTATGGAAATCATTTAGATTTCCATTGACATTTGATGGGAAATGTGACTTGAACTAAGCTTTTGATTATCAATTTTGGAGCTACAACACCCTGAGGTGAGATACATTATGGAAGGAGAAAATCAAGGTTTTTCATGTAATATTTCAATTTTTGTTGTAATTGATCGTAAGTATCTGCTTTGAATTGGATTTTTTGATTGTCGAACACCAAGGTTTTTAGACCGTAATTCAAAGAGCTGATATCACTATGAACATTTTGAAAGTGAAAGTGTCAATCAATCAATTGTGATGAATTACCCCCATAAATGTGAGTTCGGTTTGTTTTTTAATTTTTGACTTTGATAAGGCAGTTTTGCTATCACTAAATCGTCAGCTCAGAACACATTAAGTGTATCTGAAAAATTTTAAGTTTTGAGTTGAGCACAGATTCTGAATGTGGAGGCCATGAGGATTGCAATGGTAAGGTTCATTTTAGGGTATCCACCCCCTTGCTGAGTTTTCCAGTGCACTGTTGGGCTATGTGCATATTCTGAAATAAAAATCTGGAGTATGTTATGTTTAACTTCTCATATCTCAAAATAAGGAAAAATGTAGATACATTAATAGTGAACTGAGCTGACGAAATGTCAAAAATAAGAAAAGGGCAAAACACCCATACTGTACATTTATGAATGAATGAATGAATTCGGTTGCATCACATACATTGTACAGAAAGATGAACGAGTTATATATACATGTAGAATAGACGAGAAAAGATGGAACAGAGGAATTTAATATTATAATATTCGATTTCATCAGACATTTCTCGTAGCCTACTAAACAATACCAATGCAAAGCTTGTCAAGAAAAATAAAATTTTTGAAAAAATCATAAAGTTCACGATAAAAGTCAAAAAGGATATATGTAGAGTTATCTTCGAGTTCAAAATGAGATTAATAATATGCATGAAATAATAATCATCTCTTGCAATGTCATACCTTGTCATCAATGCCAAGAACAGCGTAAAGATTCTCATATTCAACTTCACCGTTCCTCTCCGAGGCCGCTGCCATTTTGGTTTTTCAGCACAAGATGAATACCAGCGAAATATAAGGTAACATATGTCAATTTTGATAATGTACAAAGCAAGAAACAATATTAACCTTAAGCTAAAAATATTTTTAAATTAATGATAGAGTTGGATGATTTACATATCTTATACAGAATCTTTGTAATTCTGATATATTCCTCTTATACGTTTCTCGTCATTAAAAATAGAGCTCTTCAAAGAAGAGTTAGTTTTTGCTATTTTTTGAAAGGTAAAAAATGTGAGTTTTTATTATTTGTTTTAGTCTTATTTTCACGATGAATAGACTAAAACCCAGTAAAAATACGTAATTTTGATTGATTAAAATTTTACAATGATGGGCTTTTATTAGAGTTGAAAGCCCATGGTACGAGGCCTAACTTTTATATTTCAGAGTTAGTAGGTGCAATCATGGGCCCATGGTGCAATGTGCAGTAAAGCTGTGGCACGGATAGTGGGAAGTCCTCCATCTAGGAGGTATATACACCAGGTTATGCGAATAAAAATTAAAACAAGAAAATGCAGCAAACTCCTCGAGTCGAGGTCTCCAAGTCAAAAAAATGCCTGACCCTCTCATGTATCTGTTGATTATCCATGTTTATAACTGATTCAAGAGCGTGGCACTGAACGAACCTAATATGCCTATTTGTTATTTGTTTAGTTGTTGGTTGGTAACATGTTTATGACGTCACAAATGATGCGAAGAATCTTTAAACCAATCAGTGAAGTCTATATTAATTGTTTGTTTAGTTGTTGATGTGGCAATACGTGTCTGACATCACGGGTGATTGCATCATATTCCAGTCACGCCATTTTACGACATTTCATAATTTTAGCTGATTTTGGCTTCATTTCACTTTATTTGAAAGAATTTTAAAAATATAATAATGAGTCAATATTTTTTTTAATAAATATTAATATTTGAATTCGAGGTCAAAGTCCGAAAATATGATCAACTGATTGAAATCACATTTTAAAGAGGTGAAGAAGTGAATAATTACAGGAGCAAACGTGATCAATGGTTCGAGGTCTCCCTCAAAGTAGTCGCTACGCTCCTACTTTGCGCTGCCTTCGGCAGAGGAGACCTCGAAAAAAATATGAAAAAAATATGGTCACCTGTTCTCTGGATTCAATTTTTGAATGAATCGTAGCAATGTACAGATTATTTGATATCATGCTATTCTTGAAACATTTATACGCAAAAATAACTGGGTCGCTCACCTCTTATGCCTATATGTGATCAGTTATCATCAATTCTCCTGAGTAAAATTTCTCCAGGCCATTGAAAGGTCCGCTCAGAAATTGACAATTTCTACTGCGCATGTGTGAAACACTGGACGAAATGGTTTGGTAAATTTCAAGCTATTTGATTGGTCGAAAAAACCACGCGCCTTTGCGTGATTTGCTTTATTCTCGCGAGATAAGGCGCTCCGTCCCCTTAAATTTTTATTTTGAACAACCATTATGATTTGGTGCATTATCTGACCAATAAAGCAGATTTGGAGGTATGAATATTTTTTTATTTTTCTGTTTAGTGTTTTCTACAGGCCCTATGTGTCTCAGGGTATTTGTTTAACGAAAACTAGACAAATAATTCATTTTAAAAATACATATTTTTTATTTTGGATGGAAGCTGCGTAACCTGACAAATGATATAAGTAATATATATGGAGGACTTCCCATAACCGTGAGCTGTGGCCTTTTGTAATTTCGGGAGACAAACCAAAATAAACAAAAATTAGGCCTTGGACATATGTATCTATTTTTCTATATACTATTGCAATGTCATCCTTTGATTGCTTAATTTTTAGATTTGAAGTTGTTCATGGAATTATTAATCTGCCTATAGGTTGCACCCGAGGTTGCAGCTAGGTCTAGCCCAGGTCCTACTGCCTTTTCATAGATGGGGCTGCCCTGCGTCTTGTGACATTGACTATTGTTTTGACCATACTGGGCTAGAGACAAATCTTAGATATACCATGGGCTTTCAATTAGCTTTTCAATTAGTTGAACGCCCATGGATATACAAATAAAGGTTCAGCGGTGCACTTACAGTATAGTAATCTGATATAGCAGGACACTACTGTTTTTGTGTGTCTATATTTACATGAATACCTGTTAAGTTTCTAATAGAAAAACTAAATTATGTTGTCTTTATTTTAGATTGGATGTTTGACTGGGGTGAGGAATCTCAGATCCAACTCATGAGAAGCTGAATAAAACCTGGAAAAATCAGCAAAATATTCATCATCCATCTCCATGGGGACCATGTAAGAGAAAATATGTTTATTCAAATTTCAGTTCTTGTGAAGTCAAGAGGCAAACAATATTATTATAACTTAGTGTTAATGAGATGGTGACAATATAGATAGTGATAGGTGGGGGGGGGAGTAGTAGACATTCTAATGATTTGGGAAAGTGGGGATTCAAAGTTTAAAAAATTAGCCTAAGTGTATAGATAATACAATTGATACATATTTTTTTATTTTGAAAACAGTTGAACTTCTGACATTGTAATCGCTATTATTTGTAACAGCTGCACAAGGAGGATGAGTTGCAGTCTATAGAAAAACATGTATGGGTGAGATCGGTAAACAAGCTGTATAGATAGGGAGACATCTTTTGGTTGCTATTTTTCCATAGTCTACCACTCTGTATATTTTACCATTTCACTGATTTATTAACACATCTACATTGAAAATTGCCTACTAACCTCGAAAAATTTTTCTTTGTGAGTTATTTGAGGACTTCCTGTAGCAGTCACTCTGCCCTACCACATTTAAAAGGGATACAGGCTACAGTGAAGTTGCAAATGGAAGGATATTTTCTATCTTTGTCTACGGGGCTATTCTGGTAGTAATACACTGTAAACGGCTCCATGAATCCATACAGCATTGTGTAGTAGAACACTTGGAATATACTAGTATGTAAAATCTTGTATACATTCAAAAATATGGAAATAAACAAATGTTCTCCATTTGCAACTTCACTGTAGCCTGTATCACTGTGGTAATAGAACCTCAACATATTTCAACAGAGCATCCATATATATTTATTATAACTACATGTTTACTATATGCATATTAACTAACATGTACATGTACAGGGTGGGCCAAAAAAAACCAATACCCAACTTTAAATAATAATGAAAATGGCTATGTTCAATATGATACATTGGTTTATATATCATTTTAAAGGTAATCCATTTTCGAACAATATGGTATATAACACTATGTCATGAAATCAATATTAAAGTTTTATTATGCTTATTTGGGAGGCCGGGTAGGTATTTAAGGTATTCAGATTTTAGGGAGAAAATAATAAATCTGCGGAATAATGTTAATTATTTATTAATAGAATATCATTTTGTTAGGTGAATACATGCTTGTATATTTGCATATTGTGTCACTAAACTTATTGTTTATGGATTTTAGTGTTGTTTATTATCAATAAGTACTCAAATAGGGAGTCTGTTAAAAGACATTAAACGTATATGTGACGAGGATTTTATTTTCCAACAAGACATTGCCTCGTACCATAGATCAAAGGAGACATTGGCGTTTCTTTGCAAACAAGGTGTCAATTTGATTAATCTCGATGCTTGGCCACCCAACAGCCCCGATGCTAATGTGTTTGATTACCATACATGGAGCTATCTGGAGGAAATGGTACAATCAAAAGCATCCAATAAACAGCATTGATGAGCTGAAACAGAATCCTAAAGTGCCGAAATGAATTGTAACAGAAATCTCTCAATAAGGCTATTGATAGATTGCGCTACCACTTGAAGCTTATTGTTGATGCAGAGGGGAAGGGGTGGGGGTATATTGAGCAATTGTTAAAATTGTTTAAATAAATAAAGTGTAAAATGTTATTAAACAACACTGAAATTCATAAACAATAAATTTAGTCACACAATGATGCAAATATCAATATCCAAGCATGTATTCACCTAACAAAAGAATGATATTCTATAAATAAAAAATAAACATAATTCCGCAGATTTACTATTTTCTCCCTTAAATCTGGAGACCTTAAATAGCAACCCGGCCTCCCAAATAAGTATAATAAAACTTTACTAATGATTTCATGACACAGTGCTATATATCATATTGTTTGAAATTGTATAACCTTTAAAATGATATGTAAGTCAATGTACCATATTGAATGTAACTATTTTTATCCTGATTTGAAGTTGGGTATTGGTTTTTTTTGGCCCACCCTGTATATGTTGAATATTTAGCGGTTATGTCACTATGATGTGAAATATGCCTCCTGAGTTCTGCAAATATAGGCCAGGCCCGTAGCCCGATGGACCCCCCCCCCATGACATGATATTGACATGGTTATTAAAGAATCTAATATCAAAACGAGCCAAGGGGGCTATATCGGGGGTAATCGGGCAATATCGGTAGATATAGCCCGCTAACTTTCCCATTGACGTCCATACAAATGCTAGGTATACAACTGAATATAAGGCAAGAACATAACTGAATTCTGTCACGAAAAACAGAGGTTGTAATTACATGTATATGTCATTCCTCTTGGTTGTGACATGACAATTGGACTATGACTATGAAGTGTTTATATGTACATAATACGACACATGCATTTTCTTTTAGTAATCTATCTCAGTATTCATACATTGTCCCCTGCTTCAATGTTATTACTCTCAGTTATCGATGTAGAGCCAATATTCATAGGACCAGTAGTCATTTTTGGACAAAATTGTCGCGTTCGATCATAAAGCTGATGGTCACCATATTCAGTGAGATAGTTATCATAGCCCTAAGTTTGGTTGGGTAGAGATGTGATTGTCACGCTACTGTCTACAGGTATATATACTATCTTCACTGGTGGGGTAGGTGCACAGCATGTCGCTTTACATGTCAGACCTGAAGCTACAATACAGATGACTGCAGCTGCTAGAGACAGTAGCATTAATGTGCAATGCAATGCGGTCAATTTCGTTTGATATGCCTGATCTTTCGCAACTCGTTTCCAAGTAAATGTCTCATTAGATCTGGGGTGTATGTAGCAGTACACATCATCTTTCCATTCGTAATGATGGGTGCAGTTATAATTTGGTAGCGAAACTTGACTGATACGTATGGCGGTTCTACTTTCGATTTTAATTCCAGTGCCATGGTGCATAATTAATAAACAAGATATCACAATCGTGATTATTGTTAGCACCATCAGGGTGATAATGAACGGTTTGGTTTTGCGTTTTGCTGCAAAAATCCCGATGATACCTGTTACAATCATTAATGATGCTAAGATAAAGTCAGGGATCGCTTTAAAAAATGTGTATGTCCTCATGCTGTCAACTACGATTCCTAAGATAATGACGAGAGTGCCACATATAATGAGTAGCACTGCAAGAATAAGTGCTTTTTTGTCCAACCAGGCTTTGTTACGTGCTTCTGCATTGGATTCTCCATCACCTATCTCTAGGGATTTATCAGATGTCCCATTGTCTGATGTAACTGGTGGAACCTCATGAGACATTAACCCATACTTGTTGTTTTTCATCATTTTGACTATTTGGCAAATGATTCAGATACTAGATAGTAGTACTAAACTTAAGTTAGCTTGACTGTTGTATTTTGTCTTCTAATACCTCTTTAAGTCTCTGAAATGGTTTTCACAGTTTGGTGATTCTCTTCTGTATATATTTGTCATTTCCTTTGTAAGTTTGAAGGCTGTTATGAATTCAAGACTCCACTTAGTGACTTTTATTTAGAATAGAATTGTGCGTCACTTAACATATACGTACTTGTTGTTCACTCCATATGTTTTGAGTGATGTACATGTAATGTAATTCAGTATGTAAATGGAGAACTTCAAGATGTGAATCATTTAAAGGCAATTGTTTTAGCATAATATTTTAAAGAGGTTTCTCTGTTGAAAATGTGTGAGTATGTAATTTGCAACGCATGGGCTCATTGTTCTTTTTCATGATGCCTAGGGGCAAACTTATTAAATATTATGCAATATACTTGCATCGCAGGCAGTTCAAAGACGCATTCCTAATGAGCCAATGATCCGTGCAGTGCAAATTACATGGTCACACGTTTTCAACAAAAACAGCTCATTCAAGCACATTGACTTAATTCCAGTTATTATCCCACCAAATGAAGTTCGAGGGGGATATAGAGAAGCCATCCATTCGTCCGTCCGTGTGTCCGGGCGATAACTCCAATACCATTTGACGGATTTGGTTCAAATTTTATAGGCTTATGCCTTATGAGTGTAGGACTTCTGCTCGAGAAGGAATTTTCAATATGGCTGCTCAATTCAAAATGGTCGCCATTTTTGTAAAAAATGTAATCGTTGATAACTCAAATACAAGTAGACGGATTTGGTTCAAATTTTATATGCTGATGCCTAGGGACAAAGGAGTTTTGCACAAAAAGAGATTTTCAAAATGGCCGCTTAATTTCAAAATGGCGGCCATTTTTTGTAAAAATATGTAATCTTTGATAACTCAAATACCAGTGAACAGATTTGGTTGAAATTTCATATGATTATGCTTAGGGACATAGTAGCTCTGTTCAAGAAATAATTTTCAATATGGTGGCTGAATTTTAAGATGGCGGCCAATTTTCGTAAAAAACCTAATCTTTGATAACTCATATACCAGTGAACGGATTTGGTTCAAATTTTATATGATGATGCCTAGTTCACAATGGTATAAACTAACTTTGTGCCAAATTTCATGCTTCTATCACAAAGTGCACAAACATTTCAACATTTACACTAGCTATAATAAGCATAATATGTTTTGTTCGGTGGGATTTGCTACTCCGTGGAGTTGCTGTTTTTCTAGTTGAAACATAAACATGTATACACCTCCAAAAACATGATATTAGGGTGCAAAATATTGTCCCCTCCAACTGACACTGTCTCTTTAAAAGTAATAAATAAATATGTTCTTGGGGAGTTGATGATGTGATTATAGCAATACCCTTTAAGAATTCAAGCTTTTTATGCATTCAGTTGCTCAAGATATGAGATATGTATGGGAACAAGTTGAACTAGACACAAACAAAATACACTTCAAGAAAACAGATATTATTCTTGTACAATACAACATTTTTCGAAACTGCAGTAATTACTGAAAAATCTTACTTCGTTGTGGGAATATACTATCATTTCATGTTTTTGAACGCTGAAATTTTGTGATTGGTACTTTAATGGCTCCTTACGTCAAAAATGTATATCTTCCTTTAAATGATGTATGGGAAATATATGTTGTTAATTTTAAAAATTGTAAAAGGAAGTCCCACTTATGGAACTATGTCATTTGAGAAAAGAATTCCGTCAAACATTTGTTTTTGTTTTGTTTCAGTAAATCAGGTCAAACAAATCCTAAGAGGCTTTTGTTGATTTTCAAAAGACCAGTATCTTTAAATGTGGTGTTATTTTATATACATGTCGTATAATTAGTAGATCAATCAACTGTCAAAGGAAAACAACCGAATTGGACACAACCCAATAAATGAACCAACATAACACAGCCAACAAAAACAAACTCAACGCAACTGATTGTTGAATGAACACCACACAATTAGGCACAATATAAAATAGCCAGACACAACCTAATTCACAACCGATTAAACACGAACAAACATGGATTAACCATTTTTGAGAGATCTATCGAAAAAATCCATAAAACTAGTTTTTGCGATAGATTTTTGGAAAACCTGTAGTTTTTGCAGTAGGTTCTGAAAAATGATAGATTCTTGAAAATGCAATAGTTGCTACAGTAGATTTTTGAAATTAGGTGTTATAATTCTGACTGTAGCGACATCAGAACTGACATCTGAACTGTTACTCTTGGGTGACACAGAGAGGGTTTTACCTTCATATATGAGCTAAAATGTAAAAATGGGATTCCAATCGAAATATTGAAAAATTCTCTATGAGGTCCAAGGATTTTTTCAAAAATTGGCGGAGACTTAAAATGGCAGTTTTTATCAATCCGCCAAATCAGCCAAATTAAAACGGCGATCAAATTAATGCAATTTACAGTATATTAGAAGAGTTTTCTACAGTCAACAAATTTACATTGATGAAGTACATTTACACCATTCTTACACTTTAATTCTTTCTTTTCTTTTAGGAACATGAACTATTGTAAAAGAAAGATGGTTGAAAAGTTGTCTCCTGGTGTTTCCATGTATCACAATTTTGGTGATTCTTGGTATGCTACAAAAGAACTACTGAAAATCTGGGGCCATGTCAGGTTGAAAACAAAGGTTAGTGAATATGCATATTGTAATATGTAAAAAGAGAGAAATTAAAAATATGAAATTCACTTGTAAGAAGTACTAAAAAGAATAATTGATACCTTTATTTTCCCCTACATTATGTCACCACCAAGAAGTGGTGACATATGTTATTTTTATAACCTCTGCTTTTGTGATCAACACAGAGGTCAGCATTCATCAGTTGTTATCTGTAACAATTGGTTACACTTTTGTAACCATTCAAATTACCTAATCAGGTTGTTACATTTTATCATGTTTTAAAAGCCTTGTATTTACTCACGTCGAGAGCTACCATGTTAGATTTTGAAAGTATAGCTCTCCATCGTGAGGATCTCCAGCTGAAGTATTGTGACATCTAAATTTGATCAGCGCCATTCAGCGGCTTACTGTTTGTCTCAAACTGTAGCCTACATATGGGCTCATATGTGTCTACTTTCCCAGTGCATGTAGGATCGCGGATGTGCTTCTAAATCGATCAGGAGTTCTAATCGTTTTATTGTTTGATACCCATTTCCAATATGGCGGTTAAACGGAAATATCATTGACGCATGCGCAACTTGGGAAACGTCAAGCCGCCATATTGAATATACCTGGCCAAAACTTTTGACACGACCAATAAAATGAAGTCCTGATCGATACATAGGGCAGTGAGACGTTCTATAGTTGAGCTGAATGAAAGATGGCGATGTAGGATACATTTTCAGGTATATAATGTGCAACATGAGTCAGCTGAATTCCCTGGAATTTTCTTTGAAGTCAGGATTCTTAAGCTGTTGATTCTAGCGATAGAGAGCTATACTTTCAAAATCTAAGTAGCTCTCGACGGGAGTAAGCTTGTATATTTTGTAACTGAATTGTTAAAAAGATGGCGCTGATGTATATCAAACTGTATAAGAGTACAGCTGTTAACCGACATATTAATAATATTTAATGGCATTAAACAGTCACAAATTATAACAATTGTTATAGCCATCACTTTAGGCACTTTTAAATGACATTGAAATGAGTCATTAATTTAAACTTTTTGTGAAATAGTTAACATTTCCCAGACAGTCTGAATAAATAGAACATGGAACTTTAGTGGATGGATATTCTCAAATTCTTTGGAACATATTTCAAGGTACACATTTATCATACATTTTCAGCTCATTTTAATAATCAATTTAGAAATTAGTATACTTTTAGTATGTTATTTTATCTGTGTACTATATACTGTAGTACAATCTACTATTATATTATTACTTTATTTCATAACAATTTGTATATTTAGGTTAAAGCATAGTATTCATCTCCCAAAGTTGATATACATATGTTCAAGTAAGACATAACATTTTATGACATGTCAAATGTACATGATAACCTAACATTCATTAATGTCAATCAATATTTAGTTCTGTACATAAAAAGAGGTAGCCAGGATCAAAAATAGAGGAGTCAAGTTTGAATAGAGAGACCAAAGTGGGTATTATACTTATGTGTCTGATATATTATAACAGTTTTGTTTTACAAATACCCCGAAAGTGTCTATTGATCTACTAAATCTTCCATTTCAGATTAAAAGGACACTGTCTGTTGTCCTGACCCTTAATAACTTCAAAAATTCATTCATAAATATTTTTAACTTGCACCATCATTTTTTCAAAAGCCTTGGACATATTTTAGTAAGAATTAATTTAGAGAAAGTTGCTTTAAATGGGTGACATCTTTTAACCAAAGCAAAAAATCCTAGTCAATAGGCTATTTCTATGGTTGCCAAACCATGTCAAAAAGTTACCTAAAATTAGGTATGAATTACAGATACTGATCCTTTAAAAAGGCGGAATGTGTACCTTATAATTCTTAAAATGAGATTTAAATTTTTCGCTTAATATGCGAGCAATTTTTCAAATGGTAATGTTTACAGTAAAGAATTGTTCTTATTAATAGTATTTTTCTGTCGAGTTGAATGTTATCTTGAAGAATGTTAAGGCAATTTTGAATTGTCTTCATCATGTGTTATTTAATCATTATTTTATTGGGAAATCACTTAGAAACACATGCTCTTTGCACATTTAACTTGTTTATAGTGTTCACTTATTCCAGTTATTGTTAGTGAATGTCACTTTAAGTTAAAGTGTTTGCACCTAACTTTGCAAATATTGATTGAATGGAAATATTAAAATACCAATATCATTAGTAATTTCGTGGAATTAAAACTGCATCAGAAACGTTAGAATTGATCTAGAATCAAAATCTTTAATCAAAGTTTCTTAATGGATTTGTATTAGATAATGTCACTGTTTTCTTCCAAAACAACTGTTATTCATGTTATTGTGTGAAAGTTATGGGATCTACATGTAACATGAATAACTTGAACTCTTTTCTTAGAGGAAAATTCTCTAAAATTAATACAGTATTGGTTATTGTGTGGCTATTATAATGTTAATAACTGCAAAAGGTTATATC